AAATCATGAAAAGATGAAAGATACCTGACATTAAGTGTGAACTCTGACATTAAGTGTGCATTAAGCCAAATCTCCAGGAGGCTGGTTTATTTCCAACAATAATTAGTTTATTTAAATAAGAATGATTTTTCTTAATTGGCTTCATTAAGTCTGATCAGACAAAATTTACAAGAAATAAGAGAAAAACACTTTTTTCAGCATTTCCAGCTCTGTATCTCTCCTGACGAGGCATTTCTTAAAATAAAATAAGATTAAAATATCTCCTTGTTTCCAGATCTTTTAGCTGTTTATTATCCTACAAAAAAAGGAAATACACTCCTAGATCTCAGGGCTGTGAAATCTCCAGAGGATGTCTGCAGGGTTGAGATAACACATGGTGGTAAAAAGAGCTTCACGTCTGCATGAAAACTGCACAGTGCTGAACCTTTTTATAATAAATAAGAATAATCATAATTTTTTAATGACGTGCTTTTACAGGTTTGTAAAGACGTAAAGGCGCTTTACAAAGAAAAAAAACTATTTGAAATACAGAACAAAAGTGATTTAGAAGCCTGTTTAGAAAGGTCTGTTTTTAGGAGTGATTTGAAAGGATGGGGGTCTGTACAGTCTCGGATGGGTTTGGGGAGTGAATTCCAGGGGTTGGAGGCAGCAGAGGAGAAGGCTCTGCCCCCCCAAGTTGGGTGCTTGGTCTGAGGGGGTAGGGCAAGAAGATTTCCCTCTGAGGATTGGAGGGTTTTTACCTGTGAGTGAATGAATGAATGAATGAGCTGCTGCTTTTATAACATCACAGGAAACTTGAACCTTTATATTTTAGAGACTGTCCGGAACAATCCAATCAACCTCTGATAAAGGTCAGACCAGAGTAGCCGATCAGGAGTTAAACCTGAATGATGGAAACAGATGTAGTTTGTTCTGATTCTCATTAATTTAAACTGAAGCTCCAAACAAACCAGCTAATGCTGCAAAAAACGTATGATAGTTTTAAATGTGCATCGACTGCTCCAGGACTGCATTATTATTATTACTGTGTGTGTGCGTGTGTGTGTGTGTGTGTGATTGAAGGCAAATTGACCAGTAAATTTTCCATTATATTCCCCTCAATAATAATTGATTGGTGGTTGCTGCTGCTGCTGCTGCTGCTGCTGCTGCTGCAGGCGGTTATCAGGATTATGTAAGAGTCTAATTATGAGGAGCAGGTTTGAGATCTCGGTGTGAGATGTGAAATCTATCACTCTGTTTGCCCTATGGCCGCCATTAGAGAGGGGTCAAAGGTCACCGCTCCCTCTGACAGCGCTGAATGACTAATTAAGATTTTGATCGGTTATAATGATGTCAGATGTCACAGTGATTGACAGGTTTGACCGACTGGCTGTAAAAATATGACAGAGATATTTTCCCCTGAAGAGAAGCTCGCCCTGATTTTGGTTGCACTCCAGGTCAGCATGGCGAGTTTTACAAGCTCCACATGAGCTTTAACGGCTTATATATACTTCATAATTTACTAAAACTCAAGATTTCCAGTCTTTGTTCTTTAATTTTGACTGTTACTCAGTCTGTAAAGTTGAATAAAACCGTGTCCTTGATCACTGAGAGCTGATATATTGACTGAAGTACGTCCATCGACAATGTTCACGTTTTAAAGAGACAAATCAAGTGTGACACGGTGAAAACATGGACAACTGTACAGCTTGGTGTTTTTTGAATGTTTCTTTATTTCTGAGGATCTCCTGTTATGAAGCAGATTTCACTTAGATTATACATATATCAGTGTTCAAAGTCAGAACCTTCTCACAGATCTTCCTCTTACTAATTTAATTAGAACATAAACCCAGATTTTTTTCATGTTTATTTGTGATTCTGCTACTTTATATCATCAATGTTCAGCAGAAACAGTTTTAACATGATTCTGTGAACTGAACTTTGACTTCAGTTTGAAGAGCCTGGACCTGCAGAATGAGGCCCGTTTGGAGTGTAAACATGGAGAAGAAAACCGATCCTGTACTGTTGAGGTCCGGGAGTAACTTCAAAAAACCGACCTCAGTGCAAACAAACAGACAGCAGGTCTACACCATAAAATCCAGTCCATTACGCACTACAGCGGGGTGCCGCAGCTAAAGGAAGAACATTTATGGTCATTTCTTCATGGAAATACAATCAGACTGAGACACTAAGACAGAAGAACTACCGCGTCTGCAGTGAAAAATTATTAATATGGTAATTATTACTTCAAGGAAATGATGAAGAAATGATCATAAATGTTCTTCCTTGAGCTGCGTCACCCTGCTGTAGTCTGTAATGGACTGGCCTGAGGTCTCGCTACAAACAAGCGGCTGCTGTAAGAGAGTGAGTGAGTTGTGTTTAGACTCTTTGCTAAAGAAATTAGTCAAAGTTAAAAAGATGATTGGTGGCTAGTACTATGGCTGGGACCCTATATGTCCTGTTGATGAAGTTAGGTGCTGTTCTGAGCATTATCTGTGGCTATAGAGTGGTGTTTTGGTTGAGCGCATGGCTCTCTGTATTGTTATCCTGCGGTCGTTACTAAAGTTGGTATAACTAGAGAAGCAAGCGGTCAGCAACATTCATCTCTGGAGGGGGTGTCTAACTCGGTGTTAAGGTGTTTGACCCTAAATTAATTTTATGCCGGAATGTCTCTTTAAGTCCTGTCTTTGTCCTCAGAGTCAGCGGTCCAGCCTGTTTCTTTTGGTTTTCACCTCACTTTTCACCTCTGCCTGTGTTGTTTTTTGACCATTTTTTCTGATTAAACAGATTCGGACTCTTGGTGCTAATTGCACCTCCTCCTTCATGAAGCATGAGCTGACTTGAGTTAGTGTGTAAACTGTTCACAGGGGGGAATTCTGAGGGTTAAATCTGACCGCTCCCTCGCAGCAGCTACAGTCACTTTAGGATTGATTGGCATTCATGGACTTTTGCTCGCTCGTCACCATCAAATCCAAGTGTCTGCTGGGTTCATGAATCAGGTCTAAGCTTTTAGTACAAAGGACCGATTTGGACTACAAAAACCCAGAGGCCAGTGCCAGTCCGACTGAAACCAGCCCCAGGTTTCCTTTGCTCGTGCCTGTACTCTTGTGCTTTTGTCTGAACCAGCAGCTCTGTCTGGGTCTCTGTTGTTACTCAGTCAAATCAAATTTCAGGTTTTGTTCTCAAATGAACGCATGAAGTGATTTTAAAGCCATCATCAGTAATTATTCACAATTACTGTAATCAAGCTGTCTGATACTGATGTGATAATTTCACATCAAGACGTCTGATACAATTAGTGCAAAATGAAATATGGAGTTAGACCCTGAAAGCTGATTACATCAGAACAGAAAAGTCCACTAAAGACCTGCAGAGCTCCTCCAACAGTTCAACAGTCTGAAGACCAGTCTGAATACGTTTCATTTACATAGATGTAGAGAAGCAGATTCCTCCTACAGTAAACACTGACATGAGATCTGTGGAGTGTAAACCAAAACACTATGAAAAAATGTCACAGCCCGTCGAAAACACAGAGCTGCAAACAACAAACCCTTGGGGATCTTCACATCGGTCATGTGACCATAAAAAACAAATACATTAGTGCTGCAGACAGGCTCTGCTTTCTGCTCTCCTGAGAGGTGCATTGTGGGAAAGACATGATTCCAGTCGGATCCTTATCTGAAGGTTATAGTTGATTTCTTCAGATTCTGTATGAATATTTTCCCCATGAGAGGGTCTCACTGCCTGATACTGTCAGTTCTGTTGTTTTACATACAGAGGAGATCGAGGTGCTGCAAGTCTGAAATATATGACGCACACACAAACTATAACATGATGTTTGACCATTAACTCCTGGGGTGCAGATCAGACCTCTGTTCTGACCCAACAAAGTCCACAGTGACCCCTAAAACCCAAGGAAGGACTCTGAGGACCCCCAAACAGGCTCTTTGTTTATGACTGAAAGTTAAAGGAAAACCAAGATGAACTGTAAGAGGAGGAAAACTGAAGAAACTTTTGGAAGAGAGGAGGAAGAACGTCTTCAAGAACCTCAAACAAGTCCAGTGATCCTCTCAATGAAGAACTGGATAACCATGACCTGGACGAACCAGAACCTACACAGACAAACCCTCTATGAAGTTTACTATTTACTGTGAAACTGGGACTGTGCAGTTTCAAACCATTACAGTAAACCATGGAAAGACCTCTGAGTGATTCACTTTTTACTGTGAAACTGAGAGCAACCACAAACTGTTGGTTTGGAGAGTCTGGTCAATTTTCTATTTACAGTGAAACTCAGACTCACTCAGTGCATTTACATGCACAGTTTAATCGGACTAGGCTCATAATTTGTTTTTTCGCTGAATCAGACTTCTCTCCTTGTCCGCGTATACATGCAGCTGAGTGTCCTCCTCCCCAAAACTAGGGGGAGATATGGGTCTCTTCAGCCGCACTGTTTCCGGACCTTTTTTTAAAGATGTCTCCGTTCCTCGTTTTGCGACCGTCCATATCCTTTAAAATGTCCATTTCTGTCAGGACAGAAAGAATAACGGCGTTCTACTCCTCCAAAAGTGGATGTTCTTTCGTGTTTCAGCCATGTTGCAGTTGCTTCTGAGTCGAAAGTTCTTCAAATAATAGTGACACTTCTTCTCTGGTGTTTTTGTTCTGGGGTTATGGGGCGTGGCACACACGCACATGAATTGTCTGATCATACTCTGACTACGCTGGTTACATGGTGGAGAAAATTGAATTCCAATCATATTATCTGGGTGTCTTAATCTGAGTTCTCAAACTCTGATTAAAGTCAGACTAAGGTGTTTACATGCACTTCAGTTGTCCGGTCTTAAGGTCCTTACACACTGGAGCCGACACAAATGTAGAACGCGAGATCACGAAATATTCAGAGGCGAATTTTGATGTGCCTGACTATACGCATCAAGCCCGATGCAATTTTGTGACTTTCCGGGGGGAAAAAGACGAATCCCGGGGAAGACTTTTCAGGGGGAAAGTTCTGCCTCCTTCGCCTCTGATTGGCTAGAAAAGCTGGAAACGTCATCACACGCTCAAGCTAAATGGTCAGCACTTATAGCCAATCAGAGGCGAAGGAGGGGGGGACCTTCCCTTAACAACTGCTTGGTTCAGGAGCTGAAACTGTACCACGGTCGCTGATTGTTTTCAGTTCTGATTAGACACTAGTGTTGAGATGGCTTTCTGTCATGATAGCATGTACTGAGTCGGAGCCAGTACCAGATAAGAACATGAAACTATGGTAACAACCGTTAGCTTACGTTAGCACAGATGAAAGTTAAAACAAAGACGTTTAGCAAACCGTTAAAGCACACAAACCATCGTCATATGAGGAATCTGATGCTATAACTCTCCACAAGTTGTCCTTCAGGTCGTTATCTTTGTAATATTTGTGTCTTTTATCAAAAAGTTCTCTGACACGCAAACTATCAGCCGGTTGGATATGTTGGATATACCGTTGAATCAGACATCGTAACAACACACAATCTGATTGGTCAGAAGTGGACACAGTATGCGAAACTTCAGAAAAATGACCATGATATGAGAAAATAAATGCTGCAATATCACAGGACGAGAAAACCTCGCTGATGTGAACGCTTGTATTGACAGGATACGGGTTCGAAAAAAAATATTGATGTCTGAAAAAATCGCATGACAAAACGGTTCGGGTGTGTAAGGACCTTTAATCGGGAAAAGGCGATAATTCAGTTTTCATGTCATGGAAACGTACTGACAGAGATTCACTACTCAAGTAAGCCAGGGTTATCTTTTGGTATAACTAGCTTCATTTACTGCACAGAGAAACTCAGAGTCACCAGGTTCAAAATAATGAAGTAAACAAGAGTGAAGCTCATGTGTAACTTAATATTTACAGTGAAACTCAGACTCTGTGATCATACTGCATTGAATTTCATTTAATAGTTTTCTTCTTCTCCTGCCAGGGTATGGCCCCTGGGTAATTTATATTTTACTGTGAAACTGAGACTAACCAAGTTCACACCGCTGAACCTGTTAGAGGGAACACTTTGTGTAATTAAGGGTTGACAGTGAAACAAAACTTTACCAGTTAATACTGATAAAGCGAACCAAGTAAGCCCTCTAGGTTGCTTCCTGTTTACTGCGAAACTGAGACTAAGCAGAAACAGTTGGTTTGCAGAGTCAGGTTTACTTTCTTTTTACAGTGAAATTCAGACTCAATGAGATTCACTACTCAAGTTAGCCAGGGTTATCTTTCGGTATAACTAACTTCATTTAGTGCACAGTGAAACCCAGAGTCACCAGGTTCAAATTAATGAAGTAAACAAGAGTGAAGCTCATGTGTAACTTAATATTTACGGTGAAACTTAGACTCTTTGGTCTTACTGCATTGAATTTCATTTAATAATGTTCTTATTCTTTAGGGTATGGCCCCTGTGTTATTTACATTTTACCGTGAAACTGAGACTTGGCACCAACAGTTGTTTGGGAAGCCTTTAGGTAACTTTCACACCACTCAACCTGCCAGAGAGAGCATTTTGTGTAATTTAGGATTAACAGTGAAACAAAGACTACTGATGAAGTAAACCAGAGTGATTCCTCTAAGTTACTTCCTGTTGACTGTGAAACTGAAACCGACCAGAAACAGAGAACCGTGTGCATTTATTCAGTTTCTGAACTGAGGCTTTTTCACTTTGGACCTGAACTCCCAGTCTCTTCTCATGGTTCTAGTTAGACTTTCAACAATGGAGGACACAAAGTTTTGACCCCAACCTCTTGACCTTTAACAGATAACCTTGAAGCTGTTCATTGTTGTGTATCATTTCCAACAGCTAATAGAGTGAAAACAGGACATCATGAGGTGGTCTCTGCGGACCTGGACCCCCCAGGACAGACTGTGATAGTGTAATACATTCACACATGTCCTACACATAAGTGTCCTTTCTTATCTGCACTGTGGCATCCATTCATGTCATACCCAGGTGTGTGTCTGTCAATGACAGCACCTGTATAATTAATTTGTGAGGACAGTTATGAATATTAATGATGTGTATTCATCAATATTCACTCCTCATCCATACATGGACTAAAGCTTTAGTAAAGTCATAAACCGCGCTGAGTCGTATTTTGATTTGATGGTTAATACCGCCGCCGCCACCGCTGTTACTCATCCTCACATAATCTTCAGAGGAAAAGCATCAGACTGTGAAGGTTTTATGAAAGCCCATCATTTTCATACAAGGTCAGCTCTCACAGCGCTTACTGCAGGATTTCTAAACCTATAGGACATTGGTATTTTATTATTATTATTATTATATAGTCAGGCTTTTTATCTTGAGTGATGTTCAAATGTTTTACACATTATTCAAATAAAGACAGTCCAAGTGGTCCTTGTTCATTCTGCTGCAGGATTTCACTACAGAGAGAGAGAAGTCATGTTTTATCCTCAATAACAGCCCGATGATAATTATAACAATAGAATTACAACTTGCTGGTTGTGTCATGAAATGGACAAAGAGGTAGAGGAAGTGGTGGACTGATTCACACTGATCGTGGATTTGAAAACAACATTAAGACCTTCTGCATCTTTAGGTTTCTGCTGGTTAAACATTTACACTTTCTAAGTGTTCTTTCACCTGACAGCCCGACTTCAAACCCTGGTCAAGAATAATGATAACCCTCTAAATTAACATCAGAGCTGTCTGAAAAACCATCATACACTCTAAAAACCCCTGGGTTAAAAATAACCCAACTTGGGATGTTTTTAACCCAACACCAGGGTTGAAAAGGGACCGACTACTTAATGGGTTATTTTGACCCAGAATGTTGGCTTGCTCAAATTAACCCAAATTTTGGGTTGACTCAATAACTCTTTTTAAGGGTCAGGTTAACCTAATCTTCGAGTTAATTTGACTCATGATCTTGGGTTAAATTGATATATGCATTTGGGGAGCTTTTTTGGGAGCTTTGCTTTTACAACCTGTACCCTATTTTGTTGTTGTAACTGATTGTCAGTTAGATAAAAGTACATGGGAAAATAGTTGTTCCAGTAGCCCATTTCTTATCACAATTCCCTGGTTCCTCAGCATGTGACACAGACCTTGTTCACCGTCTGAACCAGTTTGGCTTTTGGTGGTATTGCACTCATGTTTATGAGGTAGCGCTAAGGGTCTTGCCAAAGGACCCACACTGGTAGATGTTGTTCGCTCCTTACAGATGTGTCTCATGTGGGATTCATGCAGGGCCAGTTTGCGCCTACAGCCAATCCGCCACAGACCACCACACATCCCTCACAATCATACACCAGTGGAGAACACACACTGGGAGCAAGGTGGGTTAAGTGTCTTGCCCAAGGACACAACGGACAGACTCGGTATAGTGAGGAATCGAACCACCAACCTTCTGGTTATTGGACGACTGCTCTACCTCCTGAACTACTGCCACCCCTTAACAGTTCCCTTTCCATTTTACTGACGGAGAATAAAACATCGAGACAGAGATTACATTAAAGCAGTCGTTCAACATATCTGACCACAGCACACATCAGCTAACGTGTTAGCTTGCCACGTTTGAGGCAATGTACTTTATGCGACTAACATTGGCCAACCATTAGCTCACTCACCTACCAATCGATTCCTGAAGGCAGAAGCTGGTACACAACAGTGCTTCACAAACTTACATCTTAACAATAAAATGAGGCTCTATATAATAATATTCAGTCATCTAGATGGTAAAACAATAATGGGAATGTAACAAACCTTGATTTGTACGTCTCCTCGCTTCAGCAGTTGTGGCATCAATCTGGTGAGTGGGTGTTGCTTTGTTTCAAAAGCCCAAACGTCTACCCACTGTGTTGGGTAGTCCACAATAAACCAACAAAACCGTATAGAAATTACAACCCAACAGCTAATAACTCTGTTCCCAACATAAAAAACCTTTCGAATTGTGTACTCAGAATACCTAACTCCATGAAAATAACCCAAATAAACTGACCAACAGGCTCAACCTAGTGGTTCGGTTGAAAAAAACAACCCAACATTTTTTTGTGTGTATTAACCATTTAATAGACACTCAGATCCCCTCATATACACAACTAAAACTGCAAACCTGGGTCCAACTCAGAGAAATGTCTCTCGTAGTAATTCTAAAGTCTGAGCTGGGTGAGGATATTCTGGGACAAATGTAGGCGCATGTTTACTGAGAAACAACCCTCACATCTTTGGTTCCTCACGCAGTTTGCAGCACGCCTGTTTGAGCACGTATATACATGTGATCGTTTATTCCCTTTTAAAGCTTAATCTGATTATCTAAAGGTTTCTGACGGGTCAAATAAGTGTTCTGACTTTTTCGCCACAAGGGAGCTGAATTTGTTCCTCGTGCTTTGTGAACATTTCATGTGCGCCAAAGAAAACCGCAGACCAAAAGGGCATCGCCTGCAGAGGGGAGGCTTCACTTCAGCTGACAGGGAGGTATAAGGTTTGTGATCTAGCCCAGAGCCAGACCCTGCTGAGCCCAAAATGTGAAGAAAGGAGTTTAAAAAGGAGCCAAAAATAACCGAGAAGAAGCATATTAAAACACGTGGTTATTAAGATGCTCATTTTGGCGTGCTCAAAATGATGTTTCCACTTCCTCCAGTTCATACTTTAATTAGAGAGAGACCAAAAACAGCAGAGTCCCAGGAGCCGCTTAGTCTGATGAATTTATGCTTTTCTGCCCGAGTAAACCCTCGGACCTCTGGGCTTCAGCGTTTCTGCAGAAAATTCCCCTTTTCAGAACAGACGGCTGTAGAAGAACAGGTGAGGGGAAGAAATAAAAAAAGAAATTATTATTTTAACAAGACAGGACAGAAAAATACTGAAACCAACATGATCATTGATTTAAAATGTTGATTTAGCCTTTAAACATGTACGGGTTCAGTACAGAGATCAAACGGTGACTCATATAGTGACTCATCATTCGCAGCATGAGTCAGCATTATCCCCTTAAATTCTTTAAATTTATAAAACTAAAGAGGAACCCTGAAATATCTCCAAACCTCTTCACTGGCGTGAAACAGAAACAGACTCCAGAAAGAACTTCTGATGTGGACTGACATCTGTCATCACTCTGAGTGAAGATCATTTAACATCCGTCTGTGTCGGTCCAATCAGAAGGCTGTAACCACGGTAACCATAGGTCCCCGTCCCACCAGGACGTCCCATTTTCAGGCTCCAGTGAATATCATTAAAACACTCATAATGCCTCCATGAAGCTGGTCCCAGGACCGGTTTGGAGCTGAGGCCGACCAAAACAGTCGAAGATTAGCACCATAAGAAAGACTCACGTATGTAAAGGGCTGGAGGCGGGGCTCAAAGGGCCAAAATAACCTCCCAACATCTTGAGATGATTACCATCACCTGAAACGTAACTGATGTTTGTAGAAACCCTGACCAGCAGCTCAAAAGTTCTCAAAGTTCGGAGTAACACCTGGAATCAGAGCTTTTCTATCATTGTGAATACGGACAGCAGGCGAGATGTTTATGGTCAACTTCTCCTGAAGACAGTTTGGTCCGTGATGTTTCCAAACTGCAACTACAAGGATAAAGTTTGATATATGTGGAGCTACAGAGCTGTCTGAACTCTTCATTCAGTGTTTTAAATCTAATTTCATAAAGTTTATTTTATACTTGATAATTAGGGGTTAGTGACTAGAAAAAGGACTTTAGTTTTTAGGGTTGTTTTTTAAACAGAGCAAGTTTCCTCCAGGGATCCATCAGTGTGTTGATTTGTATTTAACAGGATCCGTTAACAGTGTTCGACCATGGACAAAGAAACCGGTTTATAGACATCTAAGAACTCTGACCAGCTCTGAACCAGCACCAGAACCACCCTAGAGGGATAGAGGGTTTAATATGTCCTGATAAGCTCTGTTTATTTAGTTTTCTCCTGGTTTTATTTTAATGTATTTTCTGTGTTTCCTTTAGTGTTTCTGTTCCCCTGTAGTCCAGTCTTGTGAGTTTTTGGTTTGTCTTTGACCCTGTTTCCCTCCTGTTCTCTGTGTTTTATTCTTTAGATCAATTTTAAGTGTTTATTTCCTGTTTTATTTTGTAGTAGTTGATTCCTTGTGTTTCCTGTTTTATTTTGTAGGAGTTGATTTCTTGTGTTTCTGGTTTTAGTTCCCTAGTTTTCCCTCCTTTGTGAATCACTCATCAGTCTCCCCTGTTGCTCGTTTACCTGTGTGTATATACAGTCCCTGTCTGTGTCTGAAATGGATCCCTAACCCCTATATAGGTGACTTTATGGGGGTTAGCGCCATTTTGAGGGGTGTCCCAAACCTGAGTGATCAATTCCAGTGCCCCACATAGGCGACTCAAAATTTCCCATAAAGCATTGCAAAATGTAATGACCATCCGATGGTCACTCACCGATGGTAGGCATCCCGTCATGCATTGGGTCTTGCCATGTAGTGTCCGAAACCTCCAGTGATTGGGTTCACTACATAGTCAACTATATAGTGAAACCCCATATTGGGGTTAGGGGTTAGGGATTGAGTGATTCATTTTAGACACAGCCTTAGGTCGCTTTCACACCCGATCAAGCGGACTCGGTTCAATTGGGGAGCTGAAAGTCGCAACATCGTTGCATTTATCACTTGCTTCAGATCTGCTTTCACACTGTGATTTCTAAAGCGCACAGAACTTTCCGAGCAGCATTACGTGGTTGAAAGGGTCGATTGGACAGAGTAGGAGGGGTATGTAACCTCACGGATTACAAACAGGGGTGGACTAGCCATCTTGTATTGTGCTTCGTCACATTATTTTATGGAATGCTACAACGTCAATGAACACAACTGGTTCTATAATGCTATCGTAGCTTGTCAGGGATTGATCCTGTTATTTTTCTAACTTTGACGATCTAACATGTGACAACATATAAGCTCAGAGTGTAAGGACTGTGACTGTTGGTAGTTGTGATTTGATTTTGTTTGAATATGCCAAATTGTGAATTTATGGGTTATTGTTGTTCAGACAATTTAGCTAAGCTAGCTAGCAACTGCTAATGTCAGCGGTCACGTGCTGCCATAGCAACAAGTGACGCCGTGCTTCCTCTACCCAAGATGCACTGCGTATGCACTGCGTATAGCGTCACTACGTACATTTGGTCCTGTGTTTGGTCCGGTGAGCTTTCACACTGCATACAACCGAACCAGGGTTCACTTGCAAGCGAACCGAGACCCACGTTTTCAGGCGGACCAGAGTTCACTTGTTTGGTCCACACCAGAGTTCGGATGAGCTTTCACACCTGCCCAAACGAAGCAGACTATCCAAGGAAACAAACTCTGGTCCGTTTAAAGCAGACCAAACAGCTCTGGTGCGAAAGCGACCTTAGTCAGTTCATTGTATGTCCATGCCTCTGTGTGTCTCCCATGTCTCCATGTGGTTTTTCCCCCCAGTACCTTTGCTTTTGTTGGATTTTGGGTTTTTTGAGTTGGACATTGATCAGTGAGTTTTTGTTGCCTATTATTTTAGTTCCTTTTAAAGTAAATACTTTTGTTGATCTGCAATTTGGGTCCTTTTCCTTTTTGGTTAACTTCAGATCGTGACAAAAAATTACCTCTCAACATCTTGAGATGATGACCTGTCACCTGAAACACAACTGCTGTTTAGAAATCCTGACCAGCAGCTCAGAGGTTCTCAAAGTTCAGACTAACACCTGGAATACGAGCGTTTCTGTTGTTACACCAAGAACACCAAGAAACATACACCAAGAAGGCATTTTATCATTTAAAAAACATAACCCAAAGCAGAGACATTAATTCATGTTTTTATCACTTGTAGAATAGATTATTGTAATACCCTCCTTTCTGGTCTCCCCAAAAAGAACATTTCACACCTGCAATTATTGCAAAATTCAGCTGCATGGATGTTAACAAGGACCAGAAAGAGAGATCACATTACACCGATTTGAAGGTCTCTGCATTAGGTTAAGGTTGTTCATAAGGTTCATAAGGTTGTTTTATTGTTTTTTAAAGCTCTTCATGGTTTTGGCCCGTCTTATCTATCTGATCTGTTTTTATCTTATGAGTCAGATAGAGTCTTCAGGTCTTCAAGAAGTTCTCTGTTAACATTACCTAAAGTCAAAACCAAGACATACTGTGAGGAACCTTTTTATTACTACGATCCCTGTCTATGGAACAGCTTACCTGAAGACCTGAGGACTGCACCTAATCTTAATGACTTTAAAGCAAACTGAAAACATACCTTTTTAGTTTTACTTTAAAATAAATTCTATATCATGAACTTAAAGTGTTTTAGCATTTATCTCTTTCTAGTTTTAAAAACAGGATCGTCTTTTATTGAGCTATTTTGGTGCTCTTATTTTAGTATCTTTTACTGTTGTTTTTATTTCATTTTATTTATTATTTCTTCAATTTCATTCTATGTTACTTTATTTTTAGATTTTAACCTAAACCTCCAGTGTTTCCTTATCTTTAATTTTAAAATGACGTTTCCTCAGTGCGCACATTCCTGTTTTCACAAAATCAAGCCCTCTTTAAGTTTATGCATTTTAATCCTGTTTTTGTTGCAATTAGATCTTTGGGTGGGAATGAGGGGTTGGGCTTGGGTAGATTTGGGTATTCTTTGTTTCTTTCATTCCCTTTTCTGTGTAAAGCACTTTACGCTACATGTTGTGTATGAAAAGTGATATATCAATAAAGACTGACTGACTGACTGATTGTAAATGTTAGCTTAGCTCACGGGCGGTAATTCAAACTCAAACTTATCTAATTATATTTAGATTGTACAAGTGTAGATCTCTTGGTATATAAAGATTCATAACCTGATAACCTGCGTTTACTCATGTCACTAATGTGCAGAAGACACCCAGCTCTTTATGTCATCCCTAAACTCTAATGTCAGTCTTTAATCACACCAGAGTTCATACACTGTTGCTCACAGTCAGTAAAAACTGACCTCCTGGATGGTCTGCAACTCCCACCTGTCAATCAAAGAGGCCCCGCCCCTAATTATACATATTTATAATCTAATGTAAACAGTCAGGGCCTCCTCCACTCATGACCTCTCGTTTATTCATCATGAATAGAAAGTGAAGTCATCGAGACAGAGGCTGTGTCTCATTTCAGAGACCGCATCGACCTAAGTGCCCTTCTGCACCGTCGAACGGTGCATTTGAAGTGTGCATGACGTCACGACGGTGCGAACGGTGTCCCGTTTGGCACGAGATGCTAAAAAATGCTAAGCGCGCTTAGCATGTTTTCAAGCGTGCATTTATCCACGCTTTCGTGCCGTCGGTATCCCAGAATCCTTTGCGTGCCGCTGCACAGCTGCGCATTTCAGGTGAGAGGCTGGACTCGCTTGGAGACGCAGCGCGTCTTCAAAGAAATTACAAGCAATCCAAAAACAGCAGACAGTCAGCTCAGGCTGTATGAGAGCATGATCTCTGAACTCACTAAAATCTGTAAACCAAACATTATAGATTTAGAGACGAACTGATCCGCTCTGCTTCAACTATCAAAAACATTAGAAATGAGAAAGCTGACAAAACTACAGCAGAGTATCAGGACAACATTGAGGTTTTTTTCTTTTAAGATTTAGAGATTAAAGTTGTAAATTTAGGAGAATAAAGTCATACAGTAAATAAAGTCATAAAGCTGCTTTTGTGGAGGGGGAAATGACTGAAGCTGGTCATCTGCAGGGTTATCTGTGGATGTATCAGCGGATCATTCAGAGAGATTTTGTGGTTTCTGAAGAAACAATCAAACTGATGATGATGATCAACATTTGTGATCCAGAGGGAGTCGAGCTCCGACGAGCACCACGTCTCTGACACCGGCCGTAGCCTACACCTGCAGAGACACCAACACCTTATTATGGCATATGGATTCATATCATAAATTAAAGCTCAATGTCATTCACGGATATTTACGGCTGCATTGACAGATATATCCTCAGCATATTCATTTCTGCCTCCACAAAAGCAGCGATTTCCTTCAAGTACACCAGTTTTTTTCCCCGTGGAAAAGACGTATTTCTCATATATTCTTTTTTTAAATTTTTTTTTCTTTATACTTATGACAATGTGATGCTGATGTGCCAGAGGATGAAGTATCTCCTATCCTCCTTCTCAATAGGGCCCTCATACTCCTTCATACAAAACAATCATTGGATTAATTTTGTGGGAATGATCTGTGCTTGTATGTATCTACTATTTTGTGTCTGTGCAAGGTCGCACAATTAAAACAATACATGCTGCGCTCCGCAGCTTTTTTCTAATCATTCGTGACGTAAGCCTGAGGGCGGGGACATTTGGAGACCTTCGGAGGACTTCCTGGTGGAGTTGCCAAATGTCCCCGCCCTCAGGCTCGCGTCACGACTGACTTAAAGGAAACCCGCGGAGCGCAGCATTTATTGTTTTAATTGTGCAACCTTGCACAGACACAAAATAGTAGATACATACAAGCACAATTCATCCAATGATTGTTTTGTAAGAAGGAGTATGAGGGCCATATTGAGATTTAAGACTTTAAGGACTTCGAGATTTAAGTCGTGAATTTACGAGAATAAAGTCATTAATTTATGAGAATGAAGTCATAACCTGTTATTTCAGAGAGACTTGTTAAAATTAGGGCCATGAAGCATTTGAAGGAACTGTGCTTCAGTATAGGTTTCACAAACAAGGAGATTCTTCATCCTCTGGCACATCAGCATAACATTGTCATAAGTATAAAGACTTTAAGAAGAATATATGAGAAATACGTCTTTTCCACGGGGGAAAAATATTGGTGTACTTGAAGGAAATCGCTGCTTTTGTGGAGGCAGAAATGAATATGCTGAGGATATATCTGTCAATGCAGCCGTTAATATCCGTGAATGACATTGAGCTTTAATTTATGATATGAATCCATATGCCGTAATAAGGTGATGGTGTCTCTGCAGGTGTAGGCTACGGCCGGTGTCAGAGACGTGGTGCTCGTCGGAGCTCGACTCCCTCTGGATCACAAATGTTGATTATCATCAGTTTGATTGTTTCTTCAGAAACCACAAAATCTCTCTTAATGACCCGCTGATACATCCACAGATAACCCTGCAGATGACCAGCTTCAGTCATTTCCCCCTCCACAAAAGCAGCTTTATGACTTTATTTACTTTATGACTTTATTCTCCTAAATTTACAACTTTAATCTCTAAATCTTAAAAGAAAAAAAAACCTCAATGTTGTCCTGATACTCTGCTGTAGTTTTGTCAGCTTTCTCATTTCTAATGTTTTTGATAGTTGTAACACAGCGGATCAGTTCGTCTCTAAATCTATAATGTTTGGTTTACAGATTTTAGTGAGTTCAGAGATCATGCTCTCATACAGCCTGAGCTGACTGTCTGATGGTTTTGGATTGCTTGTATTTTCTTCGAAGACGCGCTGTGTCTCCAAGCGAGTCCAGCCTCTCACCTGAAATGCACAGCTGTGCAGCGGCACGCAAAGAATTCTGGGATACCGACGGCACGAAAGCGTGCATACATGCACGCTTGAAAACGAGGCGGGGGTAGTGTGGTTTTGAGACCGAATTTGAAGCGCGCTTAGTATTTTGTGCCAAACGGGACACCGTTCGTGCCGCGTGGTGACCTCACGTACGCGTCAGATGCGCCGTTCGATGGCTGCTGTATCTGAAATGGGACACAGGAAGGGCACAGAACGGCGCAAAACGGCGTAAAACGGCTCAAAACGGCAGTGCACTCAGCTAAGCGCTGTTAAGCGCGCTTATCACGATGCGGTCTCTGAAATGAGACACAGCCTCAGACTGGGTCTGTATGGAGCTCTATGAGGACTAACTCACTGCAGGGCCCGACCTCTAGTGGACACGAGGGGAACTGCTGCATGTTGGTTTCATTTTTCAGCCCTGGAGGTCATATCTCTGGTTGGTGGAGTGAGAACATTTCAATGAGTTTAAGGAAAACCAGTCTTTGAGTTGTTTCCAGTCGGTCTCATATTTTCCACCTCTTACTCGCTCACTACATCAGCGTCTGCATGATCCACCACCACTGTGACTACATGAAAACACTCGAGGTAGGAAACTACTAATAATGCAGCGGAGAGCTGGAATTACTGCAATTTAGCACAGTGAGGGCAGGAATACTGATTCCCAAACCCCCCGTCTGGTTTAGGGGAAGTAATAATAGTTATTTAACAGGCTGTGAAACGACTGTGAGTAAATCTGACCTTTGTGTTTCACACAGAATTATTGAATCTATTTCATGTCCTTTAGTAAGCTGCTGCAGCTCCCCGGGGACACATCTGCGCCGCCTGTTTCAGAACCATGGTGCTTTACATCAGCCTAATGTGAGGAGGAGGAGGCTTTCTCTCTCTGGTCCGGGCCCAGCAGAACCATCTTCAGCTGCTTACCTTCACTTCAGAGAGCTGGCAGAGCTGGCAGAGGAGGGCTTCCTCAGAAATGGATCATTCAGGTCCAGGAAAAACCACGTCAGTGTTGGTTTTTTACAGAAGACGTTTAGAGAGTGGAGAGAGGGAAAAGGGTCGGGTGTGAATAATGAAGTAACTGTGGGATTAGTGCTAATCTTTGGAGCGTGAGGGCTAAGGACCTGAAGGACAACAACGAACTCATGAACCAGGTTTCCAAGATGATCTTCAGGTTTTCAAGGGTCAAGTAATTCAGATACGAGATTATCTCCTAACCCTCTATTTCCTCTGCATCCAGAACGGCAACTAAAAGGTCGTATCCTCTGATCGTAGCTGATCGTAACCATTCAAGTTAACATGTCAATTTCCACCGGCTTCTTTCCGTTCCTCTGTGGATCGCCAGACTCTGCAGCTGATCAAAAGAGTTCTATTTTTTCCGGACGCCGGAGCATGCACAGATAAAATTCAGCACAGATTAATCCATGCTGGAAAGGAAGTCGGGCACAGACACAAAATAAAACATCCGGCCTCTTTCCAAAATAAAACATGCCGCGTTTCAGGAGGATCGTATTTCACACCATGCAAAAGGGCGGAGACGAACAAGTGAAAGGTTTTTAGACGTCATTTCACTCTGATGACACCATGGATGAGGAGATGCTGATTCTAGAAGTCTAGAAGTAGATTTCCTCTTCTGGAAGGACACAATCTACTGCTTATATGTCTATGTGTCTGTCTTTATAGAGACAACTTGTTATCACGCGATTGAACATAATAATAATAATGACATGAAGCTTGTTTTTGTAATCCCTGCACGACAGGAAGTGCTTTTATTTTGATAGTCAAGGACCTTTTCCTGATCTTATTCTCTGTAAACATTAGTTTAAAAGTGTCTCCAAAGATGTAAATATACGTATGAATGTACATTAACCAGGATGACTTTAGGTAACAGGGACAGATGCTGATTATACAGTGTTAGTGTGGGAGGTTACACACACACATACACACACACACACACACACACACACACACACACACACACACACACACACAAAAACACCTCTGACTCTGCAGACTGACTCTCTTCTGTAGGATCCAACACTCTGAGTGTGTTTGTGTGTGTGTTTTAGTGCAGTTTGTATGTGTGTCTCTCTGTGTGTTTCTGTGTGTGTTTGTTAGTGTGTGTCTGTGTGTGTATTTTGGGTGTGTGGGTGGCTCACAGGGACAGACTGAAGTTCAGCTACCGGCGGTGCCGCCTCAGGCCTCGCTGATAAACATGTCTGCCAGAGTCAAAAACAGAAAAACAATACGAACAGGAAATTAAACGGTTTGAGCTCAAGTTCTGGTCCTGAAGTGATCCATTTAACTTCAGGTTTAGGGTCTGAAAACGGTCGATTAGATAAAGTTTGTTTGTATTTTCTGGAAAATTTTTGTCTTTGATTCTTTGTGGATCAGTTTGTGGTCACACAGTTTTAAACAGGCGGTGTCCTGATGAAGCAGATTTAGGTACAAAACTGAGACCTGGTTTAAATAGATGGAAACAGCTGACTGAAAGAAATTAGTTCTTCATTTTTGAGCTTTCTCAGATTATGTTGGTTGAGTACGAGATAAAAAAGAGTCGGATTGTGTTCGTTAAAACTTTAAAAGACCTGTTTTCTGGCCTTAATACAGGACAGAAACAAATGAAACATAGCGGTAGCTCAGGCAGGTCACGGAGTCAAGCTAAAGGCTACAGTCAGTTGATCTTAAGCCAGCCCTCAGTCAGCTGACAGAAAGCTCTCGGTAATTCCGGGTTTTTCTCCACTTCCTTGAAACCAGAGCTGCGCAGTAGCGATGCGCGCATTCGGCCGCGCAGTCGCCCGCGCAGTCGCCGAGAGTCCCTGTGCAGAGCAGTAGATTAAAACAGAGTGGCGACAACTTCAGATCTCGCCGCCGGAGCAGTCACATGGTTCATGTACCCCTCCATAGTTCCAAACGCAGCCTGCACTGTCCATGCTCTTCAACGGGGCAGACTGCAGTGAGCGCGCATTTAAGAGGTAAATATTAAAATTAACCGTAAAAAGTCAACATTTGTAACTCTTATTGGATTACTGTGTACACGTCAAAGTCACGTACGCATATTTAGCGGCTGGATGACAAATAAAAGTGAAATAAGACAAGTTTGGTAACACGTGTTACTTTTTAATAAGAGAAAATAATACAATTAAGTGGTAAGTAACAGGTGTTACAAGCTGTTTAAAAAATTGTGCAATGTTTTGGTCTTGCAGCATGGCCTGCATAACATTTTGCCATGTTAAACATACGCCTTAAATGCTGACAGGATTTAAAAAGTAGCGGTCCCTTAACTCAATCATCCCATGAGCAGAAATCAAATTACATAGCACTTATGTTAGTCTAAAAAGAATAAACTGCATATAACATCGGGAAGTGATAAAGGCTGAAATCTAAAATAAAGCCCATAAGTAACCATCTCAACATATGATTGATGATGATTTATCTGTGATTCATAACTCAGTCACACAATACATTTTGGCAGGCCTCCACAGCTGACGACGTCCAGCTAGCAGGCCGTGGCTAAAAAATCGATCCCAATTCCTTACTAAAAAAACGTAATTACATTTGTAATTACAATTTGAGCATACTAAAATTAAAATCATTTTACATATAAAGGGGTCCCTCGATACCATTTACACATGTATTGGTATTACATTCGTTGATACAATATTTTACCTCGGGGAGTGTGGGAGCAAACCGTGGCTAAAAAATCGATCCCAATTCCTGACGATAAAAACAAAATTACATTTGGGACATACATTTTTACATATGAAGGGGTCCCCTCGATATCAATAACACATGTATTGGCATTAAACTTGTTGATATTTTATCATTTAACCTCGGTGAGCGCTTGCCTTGTGGCCATAGAAGCGAACAGCGTCCGACGTGACAGGCGGTCATGTTGGAACTGTTAAGCGTTCCATAACCCGGAAGTGGGGTCCGCCAGGCTGTACAGCGTATGTCTATGGGAGTGTCGCCACTCTGTTTTAATCTACTGCTCTGTCCCTGTGATGACGCTCGGCTCAAACAGGATAACCCCCAGGTGAGCTACGCAATCCCTGAACGCCCATAGGCTGTACCAGGTGTCAATCATAGAAAACATGAACCCCCTAATAACTTTTAAAAACAGAGCTGTACAGAAAAAAAATGACTTGGGCACAAACCAGTCTTACAATAACTACATGTCAACATCACAAGCAGGGGGGAGAAAAATTTATGTTCTGTGTAATAAATTTCTAAAGTTTGTCCACAGTCCCATAAGCTTTGCTGGCGGAGGCGGGATTTATGACCTGTACTGCAGCCCACCATCAGAGGGTGCTGTTCTCGGAGTGGCTTCACTCAGCGAGGAGGCAGACTCTGTCCATTCTTTATACAGTCTATGATTTGCATCCTTTTATTTTCGCAGTACCTTTTTTATTTTTTCAGTTTTGATGGACCTTATTCCAAACCATCTGACAGTGAAACTCTGACCTTAAATCCGCTCTGACTGTTTCTACTCTAAAGTGAAGGTTTGATATGTTTGCACCTCGCTCTGAAACAGCACGCTCACTAATAAAAGCTTCATTTGGAGCCGCTAAAGTCTGGTTTTAGACTCTCTCACAGATGAGTAAACATCTATTAATAAAGTGACATGTTAACTGGAAAGACGCCCGGCAGCAGCAGCAGCAGAGCTCCAAAGAGCGTTTCCATCCAGGTGCCTAAACAGGGACGAGTGTGTGTGTCATCAGAGGGGATCCTTTTCTAAACCTAGTCCTGGTTTTCCAGATAAGAGAAGAAAAACGGCTTTAATGGAGCTAAAGTTCACAAAATTCCTTTTTTTATCTCCTGTCAGAAACTCACAACTGTGTGGACGCGAAAACATGTGTTTCATTCTGTCAAAACTGCTGCAGTAGTTTCCCTCCTGATGGTTAACTGTATCCTGTCACAGGTAAAAACCAGTCCACTCCTGAAACACTTTAGATTAGCCCGAGGAAAAACAAACACTGACTGTAGGGCTGCACGATTCATCGATTTTAAATCATAACCGGATTATTTGATTTTGAAGTTGTTAAAACGGCAGGCAGAGGATCGCGTTGCTGCATTAAGCGGATGATGTGATTCTCCTAGCTTCATCGAGCAGTGACCTTCAGGTCTTGCTGGGGCAGTTTGGGGCAGTGCGAAGCAGCTGGGATGCGAATCAGCTCCTACAAGACCGAGGCCATGGTCCTCAGTCAGAAAAAGGTAGATTGTCTTCTCCAGGTCAGAGGGGCGGTCCTGCCTCAAGTGGAGGAGTTCAAGTATCTCGGGATCTTGTTCACGAGTGAGGGTTATGTTGGAGCGGTAGATCGACAGGCGGATTGGAGCGGCGTCAGCAGTGATGTGGACGCTTAACCGATCAGTCGTGGTGAAGAAAGAGCTGAGCCGTAAGGCGAGACTCTTGATTTACCGGTCGATCTACTTGTGAATCCTCACCTATGGTCATGAGCTTTGGGTAATGACCGCAAGAACAAGATCGTGGATACAAGTGGAGACCTCGTGGCCGGCCCAGGACCAGGTGGACCAACAGCCATTAGAACAATTCATACGTATTATTTACACGTGTAAATGAATAAATAAGAAAAACAAAGTTATAGAAAATGTAAGAAAAAGGAAAAATAATAAATAAATTAATAAATAAAAGACAAAAACAGCAACAACAACCACTGAAAAAAACAACAAACAAACAAAGCAGACAAAAGAAAAACACAAAGACAATACCAATCGTGGTTTATCAATTCCCTTTACATAATGATCCTTCATCAATTCATCAGCATGGACTACATCTTTATCATTTACCTCTGGGTATCATTTATGATCTTGCTAATCTCCAAGAACGACTACCATTGCATCTCCGTGTGGATGTCTATCTGCACCTCGGGAAACGATCATGTGACACACAGCAAAACTCTTTTATGGCGCCTAGATGTGTCCGGTTTTGTAGAATGGAAGGGGAGAGTCCGGTCTCCTTCGCCTCTGATTGGCTAGAAAAGCTGGAAACATCATCATTCGCTCAAGCCAAACGCTGGCTGTCAGCTCTGTACATTGAACAGAACCTTTTCACACTTCTGAATCTCCTAACCCTAACCCGACAGATGATGATGTTTCACAGCCATAAGGAATAACCAATCAGAGCCCAGCACTTCTAGCCAATCAGAGGCGAAGGAGGGCGGGACCTTCCCCTACCATCCTACAAATAAATAAATAAATAAAAAATTCATGTCCGGCCAAAACAACCTTTATACACATGCTCTATACTCTTCTTCTGTCTTTTGTGAATTTCCTATGCAGCATTACAGCGCCACTTACTGGCTCGGCATATGTACTACATCGTTACAGAAACTTTTTATTTTTAAAGTGAAGTTTGGTGAAGTTGTTGCTGAATAAAAAAATTAAGAATCTATCACTCTTTTATTAATCCTCCTCTTCTCCTTCTCTGTTTCTCCTGAGTCTGAACAGACAGCTGTGGTTTTCCTCTGTGTTATATTTGCTGCCATAGCTCTTTCCTGTTTTCACTTTCAGGAGAGTCTGTCCTCGTCCCGGTCCTCTTCCCACTCTGAGTCCATCTCCTCAGGATCCCATTTGGTGGTCTGACAAGGGGCTCTATTTTCGTGTACGCCAGTGAGGCAGCGGAGTTGTATTTTCGTCTGGAGGAGCTCGGCGTACAGCCAGTTTGGTATTTTCGTGGACTGAGGCGCACGGTGGTGAGCCGAGATTTCGCCAAGCTGGGCGTGGTGGCGTGGCAGGGGGAGGTGTCGACAGATTCAGCAGGCGCAGTGACATTTTCGTGCTCGCCAGTGGCGTGTAAAGTGCGCTGAAAGCTTGCCGATTCAAACCTGGTCAGCTTTCAGCGCAGGCGGAGCGCAGCTGGTCTAGAGGTATTTTGGTAGACCGGCATACGTCACCGATGCCTCACTGGCAGGTTTCCACAGTGTCAGGCACATTTCAGTGCAATAAATAATCATCAACAACTATTAATCTGAGTCAGCACATACATTTAGATCTATATCGATCTATTCTGATCTATATCTGATCTGATGAGTGCGTTTGGACACACAACCTGACCGAATCAACACAGCTGAAACCACATTAAATTAAATTAAATATCTAGTAAATAAACACACATGATAAAGATATTTAATTTGTCTCCCTCCTTTTCTTTCTTCCTCTTCCTCTTATTTCTCACGCAGCTCGACCTGGACATGTCTCCGTGTTCTCTCTCTGTCCTGCTGCAGCAGCTGCTGCTGCAGCGGCTGAACAGATGATTTGTTTCAGCGCTCAGATGCGTTATCTACTTTAAGCCGACGTACGGATATTATAATATTCAGTTTTGTGAGCCAAATTTATTTTATATGCCAACATCTATGAAAGAAAGAGCCAGGCCACGGAGCGCGATGCGTCATTTACGCACAGATGGTTCCGATTTTAATGCCATTTTTGGAGTTTATGTTTTGATCTGTGCGCTCAACCCACCTTTGTCACGTGAGGTTTGAATATGTGCAACTTTATGTGAGTGTCTTTATTTGTGGAAAAGGGTGTTTGTCTTACCAGTGGGTCCAACATTACACACACCAAATCCATCTGTGCTCATATGAGAGAGTGTGGAGGACGCCCCCCAAGCAGCGCTTACAGTGACACTTGTTGAGGAGCTGCCTTCTGTCGCCATCGTGTGGCATAACTGTCTTCAGACATCTCTTGATCTCTTTGACTACTTCACGAAAATAGTAATACGCCTCGCCTGTGACGGATTTAAAGGCGAGGAGAGAGCTTATGTGATTGGTGAAAACAGGTCTTGGCTGTGTTAAACCCACTCCACGCTCTCTCTCCTCCCTCGCTACGACTTACGCCGCTGGGAGGAGCTGAGTTAGGGAGGGGGGATACTTACGCCGGGCTGCACCGATCACCAAAATACCAAATTGCGCTTGGGAACGCCTTGTCGGTGCGGCGGACCTGGCTAATGCCGCGCCTGCGGCACGTCTCCGGCGAGGCACAAAAATAGCGGCCATTGACTCCAACCCCCCACCCCCCCACCCCCGACTGCTCTCAGTCCACACAGCTGGTCCTCTCTCAGTCCGGGTTCTTTCACTGGAAGTCGCTCAGCACAGTTGTCACAACAGCGTGTCGAGCTGCAGGTGGTATGCAGAACACAACGAGCGGCAAATGGCCATCGCCACTCCGCCTCACCAAAACAAATTACTGAGAGCTCCTGGCGGCGTGCATGGCCTCCAACACTTGCTGCCATTTCTGCAGCAGCGCCACATTTTGATAAGCCCTGACAGCTGCACAACAATCCCTTACATCAGCAGGCAGAGGGGGCCGACACACACAAGAACACACACTCTCAATGTGTGTGTAAATGAGAAATGCAGTAATAGGCTGCATTGGCTGAGCGAGATCGTGTGCATTTTTTTTTTTTTTTTTGGCCATGGCGCAAGCAAAAGGGTTTTTTTGTTTGTTTGTTTGTTTGTTTTTGCGTCCTTCTCCATCACAGCTCAGAGCTTCATGGATGGCCAGGAGGCGAAATTTTTTTTCTGTAGGATGGTAGGGGAAGGTCCCGCCCTCCTTCGCCTCTGATTGGCTAGAAGTGCTGGGCCCCCATTGGCTATTCCTAATAAATATCGCAGCCAAGAGAGTGGGAGGGGATGAGTCGGAACTACGGGAGAGGGGTGTGTCCAATACAGCGAGGTGATTGGATGGAGAGGCGGAGTAGGAGATTGACCAATAGAAGCTGTCCGGGACGGATGGCTCCCATTGGTCGATGTTTTTGTAGCCCTGCACCTGCTAGGGTAAACAGATTTTTTCCAAATTCTATTTTCTCTTCACTTTGTGGAGATCGCACTATGGGACCATGATCGCCATGGAAACGAGGTTCATGATAATTACCCATCTCTACAATCATCAACCATGACTTTAAGTAAAAACGTTTTAGAAACTCGTCAAAACCTTTAATTTTAAAAAGATTTTTCATAAACCAGAAACATTTTTTCAGTTTTAACTCTTGATATCCTTTTTTTTGTGTAGTAAATTAAAGTTTGAAATGATTTACAAACCATTTAAATCCATTTTATCATCGTTCGACTGTTTTAGTTTTACTGAAAAATAAAAACATGAAGTTTTCTTTTACAAATTTACAGGAAATTCTCCCTCATATCTCAGGCAGAGTTTTGGTTCTGGTCGTTGTCGTGATCCTGCTGGTGTGACATGAGTCCTTAAATGGAAGCGCCGTGGATGTGGATGCTCTGTTTATCCTCCTAGGCCGCGGCTCAGGAGGTGGAGGGGTTCGTCCAATTATCAGAAAATGAGCAGAGCAATCCCAGACTCCTCTAGTCTGCATGTTGAAGTGTCCCTGGACAAGAAACTGAACCTGAAATGAAGCCTATCCCATCAGTGTGTGTGTGTGTGTGTGTGTGTGTGTGTGTGTGTGTGTGTGTGTGTGTGTGTGTGTGTGAGTGTGAGTGTGTGAGCGTCAGATTAGATCCTGATGAGCAGGTTGGCAGCCTCAGCCTTCAGGAGATGAGCAGCAGTGTGAACAGAGAACACAGCATGTAGGCTGAAGTGTCCTGAGTCATTATAATAATAATAATAACTAGGACCCCGTTGGGGCACTGGCGGGCCCGAGCTGTGTCGCGTCCCCCCCCCAACGCGCTGCCTCCCCGTCTCATTTGTGTCCTCTGGCCATCGCCCTCTCTGGTAACGCCCATCACTGCAAAGACCCTTTTCCTTCACGGCGTTTGCTGTTCTTCCTGCCAGTGCGTGTTGCTTTCACTTACACTTGCCACAGCCAGCCTCGTGAGTGCCTAGCCTATTGGATATCACTGTCACCTACTCAGGACAGTCATTACCTTTCTATTAATACTTTGTTTTTTAATTTCACATTAATTTCCATATTGTATAAACAACTGGAAAAAACTTGAGCCCCTGCCCCTGTATAATCATGTGCACATCTCTGTTCTAGCTCTAAGGTGAATCTTCACTGCTCATGTTCTCCTCAGAAGCACTCACCTCACTCCCCTCAGGTTACTGTACACATGCACCAACTGCCTGCTTCAGGTTTGGATGGAGCTTCATGGTTGTCTTTTGGAGAAATGACCAGTCAAGTTGTGTTTGAAATTTGATTTTTTTCAGGGGCAAAAGGAGCCTCTGCATTCTTGTCAAATATGTAAATAGCATGTTTTTGCAGGTGCTAAAAACCAGACTCTGAGTGTGTGTGTGTGTGTGTGTGTGTGTGTGTGTGTGTGTGTGTGTGTGTGTGCGTGTGTGTGTGTGTCTATGTGTGCGTTCAAATCACATGACATATTTAACCGGATGTAGCTGCAAGACGGAGCCTCGTTGACTCTCCGTTTCAACTTATCTCAAAAGTGAGGACCTCAACCTATATACCAGTTTTTAAATTGTGTTGATAGGCCAAATAAAACCAGAGTTATGATAAATTATGTCCGCGATACTTTTTTTCTGCTTATTTTGATCACGTTCGGCGCTCGATCGCGCTGTATGAGACAGGAAAACATAGCATGCAGACATTAGCGACAGGTCTTACAGGCGGAAAAGGCTTGCCAAAGGAAAAAAAAAACACACCACAACATCTCTCCTATTGGTGGAAAACTTCACCACAACAACCAATCCAAAATTATATGGTGACTGATTGACAAGGGGCGGGCGCTTACGTTCTTCCTGCAACATGAGAAGGGAGGGAGGGACTCTCAGCAGGGATGCAGTCTGGGACACGTAGTTGCAAACCTAGCGACTTTGTTGTTAGATTCAATGACTTTTCAGACCCCCTAACGACTTTTTTTTAGAAAGAAAGTGACTTTTATCGACTTCTTCTGGAGTTTAGAGACTCTGACATGAAGCAGGCTTTCCTTACTGAGGAGTTAGCAACGCTGCTAAGGGTGCAGAGCCACACATGCACTCAGAGCTCTGCATGGGAGACTGAAGCTGACAGAGCTGCAGCAGTTAGCAGGTTTCACCCTCAGAGACCACCAGGGGTTCATGTTGAGGCATTTTAATTTTTTTTTTTTTGTGCCATAGACACTGTCAGCACAATCTGCAGTTACACTAACAAAAATGCTGCAAAAAACAAAGAATTATGGAAAAATTACACATGGACTGACATAGAGGAGGATCTACACAAGTTTTTTACATCATGTTTTACATCATGCATCATTTACATCATGTTTTTTTGTAGTGGCATAAATAAAAAGTGACATTTGTGAGACTATACAGTGTTTTGTAAATAATTTTACAAAGAACGCCTGGGCCATTGCCTGCATTTTGATGTAAATAGAGGTAAATTACTATGTTCTTTGTTAAAAATTTGCATATGTTTTGAAGTTTACAATTTTTATTTGAAGTTTAAGTTTTAAAAACAGTTCATCACACATATTTGTGGTTTAATTTCACATTAATTTCCATATTGTATAAATGACTGGAAAAAACTTGAGCCCCTGCCCCTGTATAATCATGTGCACGTCCCTGTTCTAGCTCCAAGGTGAATCTTCACTGCTCATGTTCTCCTCAGAAATAGTCACCTCACTCCCCTCAGGTTACTGTACACATGCACCAACTATCTGCTTCAGGTTTGAAATGGAGCTTCATGGTTGTCTTTTGGAGAAATGAACAGTCAAGTTGTGTTTGAAATTTGATTTTTTTCAGGGGCAAAAGGAAGCCTCTGCATTCTTGTCAAATATGTAAACAGCATGTTTTTGCAGGTGCTAAAAAACAGACTCTGAGTGTGTGTGTGTGTCTGTGTGTGTGTGTGTGTGTGTGTGTGTGTGTATGTTGGCGTGTGTGTATATGTGTGTGTATCCTGCAGTACTCTGTACTCCTGCAGTGGCCAAAAAGACTTTTAAGAATGTGGATTTTTGGGTCATCTTTGGCGCCCCCTAGAACTGCAGTACTCTGTACTCCTGCAGTGGCCAAAATGACTTTTAAGAATGTGGATTTTTGGGTCATCTTTGGCGCCCCCTAGAACGTAAACCGTGGGGTGCAGCGTCATGATTTTTACAACTTTGAATGGGCATGGGGTGTAGATTGCCCTGAGCAAATTTGGTATCGGTGGGACGAAAGCCTTAGGAGGAGATAGCCACATTCCAATGTGTGCGAATCGGCAAAAAATGCAAAATAGCCCTTTAACCGTACATTATACAGATACGCGCTCTTTGACTTTTTCGTAGATCTAATTGAGATACACATGATTGTCAATTTTTGTGTCAATATGACAAACCGTTCAGGCGTGACACTCAACAATGTGTATTTTTATGTAAGGGGACAAGAAAAAATTGACTTTTTTCTCCTACCATGGGGGGGCGCTCTTTTGGGGAGTAAAAATTCCTTCACAAATGTGTTGATGGCTGGACATTGCATCATCCTAGAAAACTTGGAGGCCAGTGAGGACAAAAATAAAAAGTTATAAAACATTTAAGAATGTGGATTTTTGGGTTATTTTTGGCGCCCCCTAGAACCTAAACCATGGGGTGCAGCATCATGATTTGAATAACTTTTAATGGCCATGGGGTGTAGATTGGCCTGAGCAAATGTGGTGCCGGTGGAACGAAAGCCTTCGGAGGAGTTAGCGAAATTCCAATGTGTGCGTATCGGCAAAAAATGCGGAATAACCCTTTAACTGTACATTTGACAGATACGCGCGCATGGACTTTTTTGTAGATCTTATTGAGTTACATGAGTGTGTCAATTTTTGTGTCATTTTGACAAAGCGTATAGGCGTGACACTCAACAATGTGTATTTTCACCTTAGGGGACAAGAAAAAATGGACTTTTTTCTCCTGCCATGGGGGGGCGCTCTTTTGGGGAGTAAAAATTCCTTCACAAATGTGTTGATGGCTGGACATTGCATCATCCTAGAAAACTTGGAGGCCAGTGAGGACAAAAATAAAAAGTTATAAGACTTTTAAATATGTGGATTTTAGTGTTATCTTTGGCGCCCCCTAGAACCTAAACCATGGGGTGCAGCGTCATGATTTTGATAACTTTTAATGGCCACGGGGTGTAGATTGGCCTGAGCAAATGTGGTGCCGGTGGAAAGAAAGCCTTCGGAGGAGTTAGCGAAATTCCAATGTGTGCGGATCGGCAAAAAATGCGAAATAACCCTTTAACCGTAATTTTGACAGATACGGCCGCACTGACTTTTTTGTAGATCTTATTGAGATACATGTGTGTGTCAATTTTTGTGTCAATATGACAAAGCGTACAGGCGTGACAGTCAATAGTGTGAATTTCCACCTTAGGGGGCGCTATGGAGCCATTTTGCATTTTATTGTTTTGGCGACTTCAGAATATCGAATTTTTCACCAGGCCCGGTCGTCCTGCCAAATTTCATGAGTTTTCGCCAGTGGGAAGTGGGCCATTTTCCAGTTCAAAGGGGAGGAAAAAGAAAAAAGAAAGAAAGAAACAAAGAACTAGGGCCCCGTTGGGGCACTGGCGGGCCCGCGCCGTGTCGCGCCGCCCCCCCCCCCCCCCCCCCCAACGCGCTGCCTCCCCGTCCCATTCGTGTCCTCTGGCCATCGCCCTCTCTGGTAACGCCCATCACTGCAAAGACCCTTTTCCTTCATCGGCGTTTGCTGTTCTTCCTGCCAGTGCGTGTTGCTTTCACTTACACTTGCCACAGCCAGCCTCGTGAGTGCCTAGCCTATTGGATATCACTGTCATCTACACAGGACAGTCATTACCTTTCTATTAATACTTTGTTTTTTAATTTCACATTAATTTCCATATTGTATAAATGACTGGAAAAAACTTAAGCCCCTGCCCCTGTATAATCATGTGCACGTCCCTGTTCTAGCTCCAAGGTGAATCTTCACTGCTCATGTTCTCCTCAGAAGCAGTCACCTCACTCCCCTCAGGTTACTGTACACATGCACCAACTGCCTGCTTCAGGTTTGGATGGAGCTTCATGGTTGTCTTTTGGAGAAATGAGCAGTCAAGTTGTATTTGAAATTTGATTTTTTTTCAGGGGCAAAAGGAGCCTCTGCATTCTTGTCAAATATGTAAATAGCATGTTTTTGCAGGTGCTAAAAAACAGACTCTGAGTGTGTCTGTGTGTGTGTGTGTGTGTGTGTGTGTGTGTGTGTGTGTGTGTGTGTGTGTGTGTGTGTGTCTGTGTGTGTGTATATATCTTGCAGTACTCTGAGAAGAATAATAAGCATATTTCTGCGGTGAATTTTGAAGATTCATCTGAGAGGTCGGAGGGCTGATCATTCCCTTACCCTTTAGATGTCTGTCTATGTCTGTTTTTGTGTGATAATGAAAGAATCCCAACTCAAAAAGGCTCTGTTGATGTTTTTTTTTTGTTGTTCATTCATATTCAAACCACTATTTTATATCACTGCTAATACGCCAAGACCATTTTATGGTATTTAGCTTTATTATTTCTATACATTTTGCAAGGAAAGAAACCAAGGCCTTCACTAAAATTTCCATAAACTTTAGGAAAGGACCTCTGGTTGTTTAAGGGGGTCATTACTGCAAAAAAATATTCTTCCTAAATTTTGAAGGTCAAACCTTAGATCCATTAGGTTTAAATAGAAAAAGCATTAAAATATGTTAGGATTATAGCATATGACAAATGTGTGCCTCTCAATGGCATAACTACTTTGTCTGCTGGCTCTGCAGTCGATTGACGCTCCCCAGCGTTCAAGTCACATGACATATTTAACCGGATGTAGCTGCAAGACGGAGCCTCGTTCACCCTCCGTTTCAACTTATCTCAAAAGTGAGGACCTCAAACTATATACCAGTTTTTAAATTGTGTTGATAGGCCAAATAAAACCAGAGTTATGATAAATTATGTCCGCGATACTTTTTTTCTGCTTATTTTGATCACGTTCGGCGCTCGATCACGCTGTATGAGACAGGAAAACATAGCATGCAGACATTAACGACAGCTCTTACAGGCGGAAAAGGCATGCCAAAAGAAAAAAAAACACACCACAACATCTCTCCTATTGGTGGAAAACTTCACCACAACAACCAATCCAAAATTATATGGTGACTGATTGACAAGGGGCGGGCGCTTACGTTCTTCCTGCAATATGAGAAGGGAGGGAGGAACTCTCAGCAGGGATGCAGTCTGGGAAACGTAGTTGCAAACCTAGCGACTTTGTTGTTAGATTCAATGACTTTTCAGACCCCCTAACGACTTTTTTTTAGAAAGAAAGGGAATTTTATCGACTTCCTCTGGAGTTTAGAGACTCTGACATGAAGCAGGCTTTCCTTACTGAGGAGTTAGCAACGCTGCTAAGGGTGCAGAGCCACACATGCGCTCCGAGCTCTGCATGGGAGACTAGAGCTGAGAGAGCTGCAGCAGTTAGCAGGTTTCACCCTCAGAGACCACCAGGAGTTCATGTTGAGGCATTTTTAGTTTTTTTTTTTTTTTGCCATAGACACTGTCAGCACAATCTGCAGTTACACTAACAAAAATGCTGCAAAAAACAAAGAATTATGGAAAAATTACTCATGGACTGACATAGAGGAGGATCTACACAAGTTTTTTACATCATGTTTTACATCATGCATCATTTACATCATGTTTTTTTGTAGTGGCATAAATAAAAAGTGACATTTGTGAGACTATACAGTGTTTTGTAAATAATTTTACAAAGAACGCCTGGGCCATTGCCTGCATTTTGATGTAAATAGAGGTAAATTACTATGTTCTTTGTTAAAAATTTGCATATGTTTTGAAGTTTACAATTTTTATTTGAAGTTTAAGTTTTAAAAACAGTTCATCACACATATTTGTGGTTTAATTTCACATTAATTTCCATATTGTATAAATGACTGGAAAAAACTTGAGCCCCTGCCCCTGTATAATCATGTGCACGTCCCTGTTCTAGCTCCAAGGTGAATCTTCACTGCTCATGTTCTCCTCAGAAGTAGTCACCTCACTCTCCTCAGGTTACTGTACACATGCACCAACTATCTGCTTCAGGTTTGGATGGAGCTTCATGGTTGTCTTTTGGAGAAATGAACAGTCAAGTTGTGTTTGAAATTAGATTTTTTTCAGGGGCAAAAGGAAGCCTCTGCATTCTTGTCAAATATGTAAACAGCATGTTTTTGCAGGTGCTAAAAAACAGACTCTGAGTGTGTGTGTGTGTGTATGTGTGTGTGTGTGTGTGTGTGTGTGTGTGTGTGTGTGTGTGTGTGTGTGTGTTGGCGTGTGTGTGTCCGGCAGTACTCTGTACTCCTGCAGTGGCCAAAAAGACTTTTAAGAATGTGGATTTTTGGGTCATCTTTGGCGCCCCCTAGAACTGCAGTACTCTGTACTCCTGCAGTGGCCAAAATGACTTTTAAGAATGTGGATTTTTGGGTCATCTTTGGCGCCCCCTAGAACGTAAACCGTGGGGTGCAGCGTCATGATTTTTACAACTTTGAATGGCCATGGGGTGTAGATTGCCCTGAGCAAATTTGGTATCGGTGGGACGAAAGCCTTAGGAGGAGATAGCCACATTCCAATGTGTGCGAATCGGCAAAAAATGCGAAATAGCCCTTTAACCATACATTTGACAGATACGTGCCTATTGACTTTTTTGTAGATCTTATTGAGATACACGTGATTGTCAAATTGTGTGTCAATATGACAAAGTGTATAGGCGTGACACTCAACAATGTGTTTTTTTACCTTAGGAGACAAGAAAAAATGGACTTTTTTCTCCTGCCATGGGGGGGGCGCTCTTTTGGGGAGTAAAAATTCCTTCACAAATGTGTTGATGGCTGGACATTGCATCATCCTAGAAAACTTGGAGGCCAGTGAGGACAAAAATAAAAAGTTATAAGACTTTTAAGAATGTGGATTTTTGTGTTATCTTTGGCGCCCCCTAGAAAGTAAACCGTGGGGTGCAGCATCATGATTTGTACAACTTTTAATGGCCATGGGGTGTAGATTGGCCTGAGCAAATTTGGTGCCGGTGGAACGAAAGCCTTCGGAGGAGTTAGCGAAATTCCAATGTGTGCGGATCGGCAAAAAAAGCGAAATAGCCCTTTAACCGTACATTTGGCAGATACGCCCGCACTGACTTTTTCGTAGATCTTATTGAGATACACATGTGTGTCAAATTTTGTGTCATTTTGACAAAGCGTACAGGCATCAGGTGAGTTTTCACCATAGGGGGCGCTATGGAGCCATTTTTCATTTTTTTGTTTGGGCGACTTCAGAATATCAAATTTTTCACCAGGCCCGGTCGTCCTGCCAAATTTCCTGAGTTTTCGCCAGTGGGAAGTGGGCCATTTTCCAGTTTAAAGCGGAGGAAAAATAACGAAAGAAGAATCCATCAGGAACAAAAGGGCTCTCGCAGCTGCTTAGCAGCTACGCTCGGGCCCTAACTAGGGCCCCGTTGGGGCACTGGCGGGCCCGAGCTGTGTCGCGCCCCCCCCCCCCCACCAATGCGCTGCCTCCCCGTCCCATTCGCGTCCTCTGGCCATCGTCCTCTCTGGTAACGCCCATCACTGCAAAGACCCTTTTCCTTCATCGGCGTTTGCTGTTCTTCCTGCCAGTGCGTGTTGCTTTCACTTACACTTGCCACAGCCAGCCTCGTGAGTGCCTAGCCTATTGGATATCACTGTCACCTACACAGGACAGTCATTACCTTTCTATTAATACTTTGTTTTTTAATTTCACATTAATTTCCATATTGTATAAACGACTGGAAAAAACTTGAGCCCCTGCCCCTGTATAATCATGTGCACGTCCCTGTTCTCGCTCCAAGGTGAATCTTCACTGCTCATGTTCTCCTCAGAAGCACTCACCTCACTCCCCTCAGGTAACTGTACACATGCACCAACTGCCTGCTTCAGGTTTGGATGGAGCTTCATGGTTGTCTTTTGGAGAAATGACCAGTCAAGTTGTGTTTGAAATTTGATTTTTTTCAGGGGCAAAAGGAGCCTCTGCATTGTTGTCAAATATGTAAATAGCATGTTTTTGCAGGTGCTAAAAAACAGACTCTGAGTGTGTGTGTGTGTGTGTGTGTGTGTGTGTGTGTGTGTGTGTGTGTGTGTGTGTGTGCGTGTGTGTGTGTGTCTGTGTTTGTGTGTGTCTGTGTGTGTGTATCCTGCAGTACTCTGTACTCCTGCAGTGGCCAAAACGACTTTTAAGAATGTGGATATTTGGGTCATCTTTGGCGCCCCCTAGAACGTAAACCATGGGGTGCAGCGGCATGATTTTTACAACTTTGAATGGCCATGGGATGTAGATCGGCTTGAGCAAATTTGGTGTCGGTGGGAAGAAAGCCTTAGGAGGAGTTAGCCACATTCCAATGTGTGCGAATCTGCAAAAAATGCGAAATAGCCCTTTAACCATACATTTTACAGATACGTGCCCATTGACTTTTTCGTAGATCTTATTGAGATACACGTGATTGTCAAATTTTGGGTCAATATGACAAAGCGTATAGGCGTGACACTCAACAATGTGTATTTTCACCTTAGGGGACAAGAAAAAATGGACTTTTTTCTCCTGCCATGTGGGGGCGCTCTTTTGGGGAGTAAAAATTCCTTCACAAATGTGTTGATGGCTGGACATTGCATCATCCTAGAGAACTTGGAGGCCAGTGAGGACAAAAATAAAAAGTTATAAGACTTTTAAGACTGTGGATTTTTGGGTTATCTTTGGCGCCCCCTAGAACGTAAACTGTGGGGTGCAGCGTCATGATTTGTACAACTTTTAATGGCCATGGGGTGTAGATTGGCCTGAGCAAATGTGGTGCCGGTGGAACGAATGCCTTCGGAGGAGTTAGCGAAATTCCAATGTGTGCAGATCGGCAAAAAATGCGAAATAACCCTCTAACTGTACATTTCACAGATGCGCCCGCGCTGACTTTTTCGTAGAACGTATTGAGATACACGTGTGTGTCAATTTTTGTGTCAATATGACAAAGCGTACAGGCGTGACAGTCAATAGTGTGAATTTTCGCCTTAGGGGGCGCTATGGAGCCATTTTGCATTTTATTGTTTGGGCGACTTCAGAATATCGAATTTTTCACCAGGCCCGGTCGTCCTGCCAAATTTCATGAGTTTTCGCCAGTGGGAAGTCGGCCATTTTCCAGTTTAAAGCGGAGGAAAAATAATAACTAGGGCCCCGTTGGGGCACTGGCGGGCCCGAGCTGTGTCGCGTCCCCCCCCTCAACGCGCTGCCTCCCCGTCCCATTTGTGTCCTCTGGCCATCGCCCTCTCTGGTAACGCCCATCACTGCAAAGACCCTTTTCCTTCATCGGCGTTTGCTGTTCTTCCTGCCAGTGCGTGTTGCTTTCACTTACACTTGCCACAGCCAGCCTCGTGAGTGCCTAGCCTATTGGATATCACTGTCACCTACACAGGACAGTCATTACCTTTCTATTAATACTTTGTTTTTTAATTTCACATTAATTTCCATATTGTCTAAACAACTGGAAAAAACTTGAGCCCCTGCCCCTGTATAATCATGTGCACGTCCCTGTTCTAGCTCCAAGGTGAATCTTCACTGCTCATGTTCTCCTCAGAAGCAGTCACCTCACTCCCCTCAGGTTACTGTACACATGCACCAACTGCCTGCTTCAGGTTTGGATGGAGCTTCATGGTTGTCTTTTGGAGAAATGAGCAGTCAAGTTGTGTTTGAAATTTCATTTTTTTCAGGGGCAATAGGAGCCTCTGCATTCTTGTCAAATATGTAAATAGCATGTTTTTGCAGGTGCTGAAAAACAGACTCTGAGTGTGTATGTGTGTGTGTGTGTGTGTGTGTGTGTGTGTGTGTGTGTGTGTGTGTGTGTGTGCGTGTGTGTGTGTGTCCGTGTGTGTGTGTGTCTGTGTGTGTGTGTGTATCCTGCAGTACTCTGTACTCCTGCAGTGGCCAAAACGACTTTTAAGAATGTGGATATTTGGGTCATCTTTGGCGCCCCCTAGAACGTAAACCATGGGGTGCAGCGGCATGATTTTTACAACTTTGAATGGGCATGGGGTGTAGATTGCCCTGAGCAAATTTGGTATCGGTGGGACGAAAGCCTTAGGAGGAGATAGCCACATTCCAATGTGTGCTAATCGGCAAAAAATGCGAAATAGCCCTTTAACTGTACATTATACAGATACGCGCTTTTTGACTTTTTCGTAGATCTAATTGAGATACACATGATTGTCAATTTTTGTGTCAATATGACAAAGCGTTCAGGCGTGACACTCAACAATGTGTATTTTCATGTAAGGGGACAAGAAAAAATTGACTTTTTTCTCCTGCCATGGGGGGGCGCTCTTTTGGGGAGTAAAAATTCCTTCACAAATGTGTTGATGGCTGGACATTGCATCATCCTAGAAAACTTGGAGGGCAGTGAGGACAAAAATAAAAAGTTATAAGACTTTTAAGAATGTGGATTTTAGGGTTATCTTTGGCGCCCCCTAGAACGTAAACCGTGGGGTGCAGCGTCATGATTTGTACAACTTTTAATGGCCATGGGGGGTAGATTGGCCTGCGCAAATGTGGTGCCGGTCGAACGAAAGCCTTCGGAGGAGTTAGCGAAATTCCAATGTGTGCAGATCTGCAAAAAATGCAAAATAACCCATTAACCGTACATTTGACAGATACGCCCGCACTGACTTTTTTGTAGATCTTATTAAGATACATGTGTGTGTCAATTTTTGTGTCAATATGACAAAGCGTACAGCCGTCATGTGAATTTTCACCTTAGGGGGCGCTATGGAGCCATTTTGCATTTTATTGTTTGGGCGACTTCAGAATATCGAATTTTTCACCAGGCCCGGTCGTCCTGCCAAATTTCCTGAGTTTTCGCCAGTGGGAAGTGGGCCATTTTCCAGTTTAAAGCGGAGGAAAAATAATAACGAAAGAAGGAAACATGCAGGAACAAGAGGGCTCTCGCAGCTGCTTAGCAGCTACGCTCGGGCCCTAACTAGGGCCCCGTTGGGGCACTGGCGGGCCCGAGCCGCGTTGCGCCGCCCCCAGTGCGACCGCCTCCCCCTCCCGATCGCGTCACACTCAAGGTCCAAAGATGGTGTGCGCACTTGTCTGTGGTCATTTCCCATTATAATGAATGGGAGGCGCAGTTTCTACCAAAACACTCGCTGCAGACAAACTACATGTCCTATTTGAAAAAAGTCTGGACCATGAGTGAGGCCACAAACACAGCTAGGATATATCCAAACGGCAAGTTGCTCCTTGTTACGGTGTTGCCGGGAGAGCGATGCGATTGAGCCATTGAGTGATGGGCAGGAAAAACTTGACTGTTTCTCCTGCCATGGGGGATGGGGGCTGGGGGGGGGGATGTGGATTCTTTTAAGAATGTGGATATTTGGGTCATCTTTGGCGCCCCCTAGAACGTGAGCCGTGGGGTGCAGCGTCATGATTTTTACAACTTTGAATGGCCATGGGGTGTAGATTGGCCTGAGCAAATTTGGTGTCAGTGGGACGAAAGCCTTAGGAGGAGTTAGCCACATTCCAATGTGTGCGAATCGGCAAAAAATGCAAAATAGCCCTTTAACCGTACATTTGACAGATACACGCCCATTGACTTTTTCGTAGATCTTATTGAGATACACGTGATTGTCAAATTTTGTGTCAATATGACAAAGCGTACAGGCGTGACACTAAACAATGTGTATTTTCACCTTAGGGGACAAGAAAAAATAGACTTTTTTCTCCTGCCATGGGGGGGCGCTCTTTTGGGGAGTAAAATTTCCTTCACAAATGTGTTGATGGCTGGACATTGCATTATCCTAGAAAACTTGGAGGCCAGTGAGGACAAAAATAAAAAGTTATAAGACTTTTAAGAATGTGGATTTTTGGGTTATCTTTGGCGCCCCCTAGAACCTTCACCGTGGGTTGCAGCGTCATGATTTGTACAACTTTTAATGGCCATGGGGTGTAGATTGGCCTGAGCAAATTTGGTGCCGGTGGAACGAAAGCCTTCGGAGGAGTTAGCGAAATTCCAATGTGTGCGGATCGGCAAAAAATGCAAAATAGCCCTTTAACCGTACATTATACAGATACGCGCTCTATGACTTTTTTGTAGATCTTATTGAGATACACGTGATTGTCAAATGTTTTGTCAATATGACAAAGCGTTTAGGCGTGACACTCAACAATGTGTATTTTCATGTTAGGGGACAAGAAAAACTTGACTTTTTTCTCCTGCCATGGGGGGGCGCTCTTTTGGGGAGTAAAAATTCCTTCACAAATGTGTTGATGGCTTGACATGGCATCATCCTAGAAAACTTGGAGGCCAGTGAGGACAAAAATAAAAAGTTATAAGACTTTTAAGAATGTGGATTTTTGGGTTATCTTTGGCGCCCCCTAGAACCTTCACCGTGGGTTGCAGCGTCATGATTTGTACAACTTTTAATGGCCATGGGGTGTAGATTGGCCTGAGCAAATGTGGTGCCGGTGGAACGAAAGCCTTCGGAGGAGTTAGCGAAATTCCAATGTGTGCGGATCGGCAAAAAATGCGAAATAGCCCTTTAACGGTACATTTGACAGATACGCCCGCACTGACTTTTTTGTAGATCTTATTGAGATACACATGTGTGTCAAATTTTGTGTCATTTTGACAAAGTGTACAGGCGTCAGGTGAGTTTTCACCATAGGGGGCGCTATGCAGCCATTTTTCATTTTTTTGTTTGGGCGACTTCAGAATATCAAATTTTTCACCAGGCCCGGTCGTCCTGCCAAATTTCCTGAGTTTTCGCCAGTGGGAAGTGGGCCATTTTCCAGTTTAAAGCGGAGGAAAAATAACGAAAGAAGAATCCATCAGGAACAAGAGGGCTCTCGCAGCTGCTTAGCAGCTACGCTCGGGCCCTAACTAGGGCCCCGGTGGGGCACTGTCGGGCCCGAGCCGCGTCACGCCGCCCCCAGCGTGACCGCCTCCACCTCCCGATCGCGTCACACTCTAGGTCCAAAGATGGAGTGCGCACTTGTCTGTGGTCATTTCCCATTATAATGAATGGGAGGCGCAGTTTCTACCAAAACACTCGCTGCAGACAAACTACATGTCCTATTTGAAAAAAGTCTGGACCATGAGTGAGGGCACAAACACAGCTAGGATATATCCAAATGGCAAGTTGCTCCTCCTTTCGCTTTTGCCGAGAGAGCGATGCGATTGAGCCATTGAGCGATGGGCAGGAAAAACTTGACTTTTTCTCCTGCCATGGGGGGAGGGGGGGGGGATGTGGATTCTTTTAAGAATGTGGATATTTGGGTCATCTTTGGCACCCCCTAGAACGTGCACCGTGGGGTGCAGCGTCATGATTTTTACAACTTTGAATGGCCATGGGGTGTAGATTGGCCTGAGCAAATTTGGTGTCAGTGGGACGAAAGCCTTAGGAGGAGTTAGCCACATTCCAATGTGTGCGAATCGGCAAAAAATGCAAAATAGCCCTTTAACCGTACATTTTACAGATATTTGCGCATGACTTTTTCATAGATCTTATTGAGATACACATGATTGTCAAATTTTGTGTCATTTTGACAAAGCGTAGAGGCGTGACACTCAACAATGTGTTTTTTCACCTTATGGGACAAGAAAAAATGGACTTTTTTCTCCTGCCATGGGGGGGCGCTCTTTTGGGGAGTAAAAGTTTCTTCACAAATGTGTTGATGGCTGGACATTGCATCATCCTAGAAAACTTGGAGGCCAGTGAGGACAAAAATAAAAAGTTATAAGACTTTTAAGAATGTGGATTTTTGGGTTATCTTTGGCGCCCCCTAGAACCTAAACCGTGGGGTGCAGCGTCATGATTTGTACAACTTTTAATGGCCATGGGGTGTAGATTGGCCTGAGCAAATTTGGTGCCAGTGGAACGAAAGCCTTCGGAGGAGTTAGCGAAATTCCAATGTGTGCGGATCGGCAAAAAATGCGAAATAGCCCTTTAACCATACATTTGACAGCTACGCGCTCTGTAACTTTTTCGTAGATCTTATTGAGATACACGTGTGTGTCAAATTTTGTGTCAATATGACAAAGCGTTCAGGCATGACACTCAACAATGTGTATTTTCACCTTAGGGGACAAGAAAAAATGGACTTTTTTCTCCTGCCATGGGGGGCGCTCTTTTGGGGAGTAAAAATTTCTTCACAAATGTGTTGATGGCTGGACATTGCATCATCCTAGAAAACTTGGAGGCCAGTGAGGACAAAAATAAAAAGTTATAAGACTTTTAAGACTGTGGATTTTTGGGTTATCTTTGGCGCCCCCTAGAATGTAAACCGTGGGGTGCAGCGTCATGATTTGTACAACTTTTAATGGCCATGGGGTGTAGATTGTCCTGAGCAAATTTGTTGCCGGTGGAACGAAAGCCTTCGGAGGAGTTAGCGAAATTCCAATGTGTGCGGATCGGCAAAAAATGCGAAATAGCCCTTTAACCGTACATTTGACAGATACGCCCGCACTGACTTTTTTGTAGATCTTATTGAGATACACATGTGTGTCAAATTTTGTGTCATTTTGACAAAGCGTACAGGCGTCAGGTGAGTTTTCACCATAGGGGGCGCTATGGAGCCATTTTTCATTTTTTTGTTTGGGCGACTTCAGAATATCGAATTTTTCACCAGGCCCGGTCGTCCTGCCAAATTTCCTGAGTTTTCGCCAGTGGGAAGTGGGCCATTTTCCAGTTTAAAGCGGAGGAAAAATAACGAAAGAAGAATCCATCAGGAACAAGAGGGCTCTCGCAGCTGCTTAGCAGCTACGCTCGGGCCCTAATAATAATAACAAACTAGGGCCCCGTTGGGGCACTGGCGGGCCCGAGCCGTGTCACGCCGCCCCCAGCGCGACCGCCTCCCCCACCCGATCGCGTCACACTCAAGGTCCAAAGATGGTGTGCGCACTTGTTTGTGGTCATTTACCATTATAATGAACGGGAGGCGCAGTTTCTACCAAAACGCTCGCTGCAGAAAAACTCCATGTCCTATTTGAAAAAAGTCTGGACCATGAGTGAGGGCACAAACACAGCTAAGATATATCCAAATGGCAAGTTGCTCCTCCTTTCGCTTTTGCCGAGAGAGCAGTGCGTTTGAGCCATTGAATGATGAACAGGAAAAACTTGACTTTATTCTCCTGCCATGGGGGGGCGCTCTTTTAAAGAGAAAAAACTCCTTCACAAATGTGTTGATGGCTGGACATTGAATCATCCTAGAAAACATGGAGGCCAGTGAGGACAAAAATAAAAAGTTATAAGACTTTTAAATATGTGGATTTTAGGGTTATCTTTGGCGCCCCCTAGAACCTAAACCGTGGGGTGCAGCGTCATGATTTGAATAACTTTTAATGGCCATGGGGTGTAGATTGGCCTGAGCAAATGTGGTGCCGGTGGAACTAAAGCCTTCGGAGGAATTAGCGAAATTCCAATGTGTGCGAATCTGCAAAAAATGCGAAATAACCCTTTAACCGTACATTTTACAGATACGTGGCCATTGACTTTTTCGAAGATCTTATGTAAATACACGTGTATGTAAAATTTTGTGTCAATACGACAAAACATACAGGCGTAGCACTCAACAATGTGTATTTTCACCTTAGTGGACAAGAAAAAATTGACTTTTTTCTCCTGCCATGGGGGGGCGCTCTTTTGCCGAGTAAAAATTCCTTCACAAATGTGTTGATGGCTGGACATTGCATCATCCTAGAAAACTTGGAGGCCAGTGGGGACAAAAATAAAAAGTTATAAGACTTTTAAATATGTGGATTTTACGGTTATCTTTGGCTCCCCTAGAACCTAAACCGTGGGGTGCAGCGTCATGATTTGAATAACTTTTAATGGCCATGGGGTGTAGATTGGCCTGAGCAAATGTGGTGCCGGTGGAACGAAAGCCTTCGGAGGAGTTAGCGAAATTCCAATGTGTGCGGATCGGCAAAAAATGCGGAATAACCCTTTAACCGTACATTTGACAGATACGCGCGCATTGACTTTTTCGTAGATCTTATTGAGATACATGTGTGTGTCAATTTTTGTGTCATTTTGCCAAAGCGTACAGGTGTTACACTCAACAATGTGTATTTTCACCTTAGGGGACAAGAAAAAATGGACTTTTTTCTCCTGCCATGGGGGGGCGCTCTTTTGGGGAGTAAAAATTCCTTCACAAATGTGTTGATGGCTGGACATTGCATCATCCTAGAAAACTTGGAGGCCAGTGAGGGCAAAAATAAAAAGTTATAAGACTTTTAAATATGTGGATCTTAGGGTTATCTTTGGCGCCCCCTAGAACCTAAACCGTGGGGTGCAGCGTCATGATTTGAATAACTTTTAATGGCCATGGGGTGTAGATTGGCCTGAGCAAATGTGGTGCCGGTGGAACGAAAGCCTTCGGAGGAGTTAGCGAAATTCCAATGTGTGCGGATCGGCAAAAAATGCGAAATAACCCTTTAACCGTACATTTGACAGATACGCCCGCACTGACTTTTTTGTAGATCTTATTGAGATACATGTGTGTGTCAATTTTTGTGTCATTTTGACAAAGCGTACAGGCGTGACAGTCAATAGTGTGAATTTTCACCTTAGGGGGCGCTATGGAGCCATTTTGCATTTTCTTGTTTGGGCGACTTCGGAATATCAAATTTTTCACCAGGCCCGGTCGTCCTGCCAAATTTCATGAGTTTTCGCCAGTGGGAAGTGGGCCATTTTCCAGTTCAAAGGGGAGGAAAAAGAAGAACTAGGGCCCCGTTGGGGCACTGGCGGGCCCGAGCCGCGTTGCGCCGCCCCCAGTGCGACCGCCTCCCCCTCCCGATCGCGTCACACTCAAGGTCCAAAGATGGTGTGCGCACTTGTCTGTGGTCATTTCCCATTATAATGAATGGGAGGCGCAGTTTCTACCAAAACACTCGCTGCAGACAAACTACATGTCCTATTTGAAAAAAGTCTGGACCATGAGTGAGGCCACAAACACAGCTAGGATATATCCAAACGGCAAGTTGCTCCTTGTTACGGTGTTGCCGGGAGAGCGATGCGATTGAGCCATTGAGTGATGGGCAGGAAAAACTTGACTGTTTCTCCTGCCATGGGGGATGGGGGCTGGGGGGGGGGATGTGGATTCTTTTAAGAATGTGGATATTTGGGTCATCTTTGGCGCCCCCTAGAACGTGAGCCGTGGGGTGCAGCGTCATGATTTTTACAACTTTGAATGGCCATGGGGTGTAGATTGGCCTGAGCAAATTTGGTGTCAGTGGGACGAAAGCCTTAGGAGGAGTTAGCCACATTCCAATGTGTGCGAATCGGCAAAAAATGCAAAATAGCCCTTTAACCGTACATTTGACAGATACACGCCCATTGACTTTTTCGTAGATCTTATTGAGATACACGTGATTGTCAAATTTTGTGTCAATATGACAAAGCGTATAGGCGTGAATCTCAACAATATGTATTTTCACCTTAGGGGACAAGAAAAAATGGACTTTTTTCTCCTGCCATGGGGGGGCGCTCTTTTGCCGAGTAAAAATTCCTTCACAAATGTGTTGATGGCTGGACATTGCATCATCCTAGAAAACCTGGAGGCCAGTGAGGACAAAAATAAGAAGTTATAAGACTTTTAAATATGTGGATTTTACGGTTATCTTTGGCGCCCCCTAGAACCTAAACCGTGGGGTGCAGCGTCATGATTTGAATAACTTTTAATGGCCATGGGGTGTAGATTGGCCTGAGCAAATGTGGTGCCAGTGGAACGAAAGCCTTAGGAGGAGTTAGCCACATTCCAATGTGTGCGGATCGGCAAAAAATGCGGAATAACCCTTTAACCGTACATTTGACAGATATGCGCGCATTGACTTTTTCGTAGATCTTATTGAGATACATGTGTGTGTTAATATTTGTGTCATTTTGCCAAAGCGTACAGGCGTGACACTAAACAATGTGTATTTTCACCTTAGGGGACAAGAAAAAATAGACTTTTTTCTCCTGCCATGGGGGGCGCTCTTTTGGGGAGTAAAATTTCCTTCACAAATGTGTTGATGGCTGGACATTGCATTATCCTAGAAAACTTGGAGGCCAGTGAGGACAAAAATAAAAAGTTATAAGACTTTTAAGAATGTGGATTTTTGGGTTATCTTTGGCGCCCCCTAGAACCTTCACCGTGGGTTGCAGCGTCATGATTTGTACAACTTTTAATGGCCATGGGGTGTAGATTGGCCTGAGCAAATTTGGTGCCGGTGGAACGAAAGCCTTCGGAGGAGTTAGCGAAATTCCAATGTGTGCGGATCGGCAAAAAATGCAAAATAGCCCTTTAACCGTACATTATACAGATACGCGCTCTATGACTTTTTTGTAGATCTTATTGAGATACACGTGATTGTCAAATGTTTTGTCAATATGACAAAGCGTTTAGGCGTGACACTCAACAATGTGTATTTTCATGTTAGGGGACAAGAAAAACTTGACTTTTTTCTCCTGCCATGGGGGGGCGCTCTTTTGGGGAGTAAAAATTCCTTCACAAATGTGTTGATGGCTTGACATGGCATCATCCTAGAAAACTTGGAGGCCAGTGAGGACAAAAATAAAAAGTTATAAGACTTTTAAGAATGTGGATTTTTGGGTTATCTTTGGCGCCCCCTAGAACCTTCACCGTGGGTTGCAGCGTCATGATTTGTACAACTTTTAATGGCCATGGGGTGTAGATTGGCCTGAGCAAATGTGGTGCCGGTGGAACGAAAGCCTTCGGAGGAGTTAGCGAAATTCCAATGTGTGCGGATCGGCAAAAAATGCGAAATAGCCCTTTAACGGTACATTTGACAGATACGCCCGCACTGACTTTTTTGTAGATCTTATTGAGATACACATGTGTGTCAAATTTTGTGTCATTTTGACAAAGTGTACAGGCGTCAGGTGAGTTTTCACCATAGGGGGCGCTATGCAGCCATTTTTCATTTTTTTGTTTGGGCGACTTCAGAATATCAAATTTTTCACCAGGCCCGGTCGTCCTGCCAAATTTCCTGAGTTTTCGCCAGTGGGAAGTGGGCCATTTTCCAGTTTAAAGCGGAGGAAAAATAACGAAAGAAGAATCCATCAGGAACAAGAGGGCTCTCGCAGCTGCTTAGCAGCTACGCTCGGGCCCTAATAATAATAATAACAAAAGAAGGAAACTACAGGAACAAGAGGGCTCTCGCAGCTGCTTAGCAGCTACGCTCGGGCCCTAAAGAAGAATCCATCAGGAACAAGAGGGCTCTCGCAGCTGCTTAGCAGCTACGCTCGGGCCCTAAAAACCACTTGGGGAATAATAGGGCTCTCGCAGCTGCTTAGCAGCTACGCTCGGGCCCTAATAATCATAATAATACATTTTATTTGTAAAGCGAGCGTTTTTCAAAAACACAAAGACGCTGTACATGTGTTAAGCAATAACAATAAAACACACATCGATAAGCAATAAAATTTACAACAATATCAATAAAAACGTGTAAGGAGGCTAAGGAGGATGAAAGGCAGTGCGGAAGAGGTGGGTTTTGAGAAGGGTCTTGAATCTGGTGAGGTCAGTGCAGTTTCTAAGTTCGAGTGGGAGTGAGTTCCAGAGGGTGGGGGCGGCGACTGAGAAGGCTCTGTCCCCCCAGGTTCGGTGCTTGGTCAGGGGAACTATGAGGAGGTTGGCATTGGCGGAGCGGAGGGTGCGGGAGGGGGTGTAGGGGTGGAGAAGATCCTGTAGGTGGGGGGGGGGGCCAGGTTGTGGAGTGCTTTGTGGGTGAGAAGGAGGATTTTGTATTGAATGCGATGGGGGATGGGGAGCCAGTGAAGGTTTTGGAGGACGGGGGTGATGTGTTGGTGGGAGCGTGTGTGGGTGAGGAGGCGGGCGGCTGAGTTCTGGATAAGCTGAAGTTTATTGAGGAGAGTGGAGGTAGTGCCATGGAGGAGAGTGTTACAGTAATCTAGATGAGATGAGATGAATGCATGTATGAGGGTTTCAGCTGCAGGGTAGGAGAGGGAGGGGCGGAGGCGTGAAATGTTTTTGAGGTGGTAGTATGCTGTTTTGGTGATTTGCTTTACATGCTGTGTGAAGGTGAGGTTGCTGTCAAAGAGAATACCAAGGTTGCGACAGTGGGGGGAGGGGGAGAGGGTGGAGTTGTTAATGGAGAGATGAAAGTCTGTGACTGTGGAGGTGAGGGAGTTTGGGCTGATGACGATGAGATCTGTTTTGTCATAGTTGAGTTTGAGAAGATTGCTGTCCATCCAGTGTTTAATATCAGAGAGGCAGTTTGAGAGGGAGTGTTGGGTCTGGGGGGTGATGGAGTTGGAAGAGATATATAATTGAATGTCATCAGCGTAGCAGTGGAAGTGGAGGTTGTGTTGACGGAGGATGTGGCCAAGAGGGAGGAGGTAGATGATGAAGAGGAGGGGACCAAGCACCGAGCCCTGGGTGACACCTTGGGACACGGGGGCAGTTGTGGAGGAGCAGTTGTTAATGTGGATGAAGTGATTCCGGTCTGTGAGGTAAGAGTGGATCCAGTTAAGAGCGGTGTTTGTGATATTGAGGAGGGAGTGTAGGCGGGACAGGAGGATGGCGTGGTCGATGGTGTCGAAAGCAGCGGAGAGGTCGAGGAGGATGAGGATGGAGAGTTGGCCGGAGTCAGCAGAAATGAGGAGGTCGTTTGTGACTTTGATGAGGGCAGTTTCGGTGCTGTGGTGGGTGCGGAATCCTGATTGAAACGGTTTGTAAAGGTTGTTATTGTTGAGGTGGGTTTTGATTTGTGATGCAATGACACGTTCGAGGATTTTTGACAGGAAAGGGAGGTTGGAGATGGGCCGGAAGTTATTGATGTTGTCGGGGTTGAGTCCGGGTTTTTTGAGGATGGGGGTGACAGCGGCCAGTTTGAGTGAAGGGGGAACAGTGGCGGAGTTGAGGGAGGAGTTGATGATCTGTGTGATGATGGGGGAGATGATGGGGAGGCAGTGCTTGATGAGGGAGGATGGGATGGGATCCAGGATGCAGGTGGATGATGACATGGACCAGATGATATTGGTCACATCGGTTGAGGAAACAGGTGAGAAGCAGGAGAGTGCTGATGGGATGAGGGGAGGAGCGGGGAATGGAGGGTGGGGGAAGGGAGTTGTAGATTGTGTTGATTTTGGATTGAAAAGAGGAGAGGAATGTGTTGCACTTTTCCGGGGTGAAGGTGATTTTGGTTACTGGAGCCGGAGTGGATGAGGTTGGAGTAAAAGGTGGAGGTGGTCGGTGTAGGCTTGGAGATGGACGGTGAGGCCGGTTTTGCGGTATAGACGTTCCAGTTGTCGTTTGTGGGATTTCATTTTGTGTAGTTCTGAGGTAAACCAGGGGGCAGAGTGTCTGAATGAAACCGTTTTTGTTTTGAGAGGTGCGAGCTGGTCCAGGCAGGAGGATAGAGTGTTATTGTAGTAGTTGAGTAGGTCAGGAAGTTTAGCAGATGGTGAGGGAAGGGATGCAGTGAGGGTGGCAGATAGGGAAGCGGAGAGGTCCTGAGGCGAGATGGATTTGAGGTTTCTGAAGGAAATTTGTCGTTTTTCACTGTGGGGGGGGGGGGTCGACGTTGAAAGTGACAGCCAGGTGGTCAGATATATAGAGGTTGATGGTGGAGAGATGGTGGATGGAGGTGCCGGTGGAGCAGACGAGGTCGAGGGTGTGGCCATGGGAGTGGGTGGGGGAGTGTACATGCTGGGTGAGGTTGAGGGTGTCGAGCAGATCCAGGAATTCGGATGCTTGTTTGCAGGTGGGGTTGTCAATGTGAAAGTTGAAGTCTTCAAGCAGCAGGACAGAGGATGAGATGGTGTTTAGGTGGGTGACAAAGTCAGAGAAGTCAGAGAGGAATGATGGGTGGGGCTTTGGAGGGCGGTAGATAGTGACAATGACCAGAGGGGTGGGGCCGGGGAGTTTGACGGAAATATTTTCAAATGAGTGGACGGACAGGGTGGGGACGGGGGTGGTCTTGAGGGTTTGTTTGTGGATGACTGCGACGCCACCGCCTCGTCCAGTGAGGCGGGGTTGGTGCAGGTAGGAGTAAGCGGGGGGGGGGGGGGGGGGCTTGGTTGAGTGGAAAGAGGTCAAGATGGTTGTGCCAGGTTTCAGTTAGATAGAGGAAGTCCAGTTTATTGTCTGTTATGAAGTCAGCTAGGATGAGTCCTTTGTTATTGAGGGAGTGGGGGTGGGCAGTGAGGCAGGGGGAAGGCAGCTGAGGTTTCTTTGATTTCTTGTCCTTCTTTTTAGATGCATGGGATTTGAGCGGGAGGGTCCAGTAGTTGTAATAATTGTTTGAACTGTTTGCAATTGTTTGCAAGGAGAGTCTGTGGTTGGAGGGTGTAGGAGCTGTTTGGACTAGGAGGGGGAGATTGATGTAGTGGGGGCGATGGGGTTGGTGTGCAGTACCAGTTGGGGCCTGTTGGGGGAGCCGGTGGTGGGGGTGGTGAGGGTGAGGGTGAGGGTTCCGGAGGGGGGCCTCTGGGGGGCGCTGTTTCCAGGTGGGGTAGTGGAAGAAGATGACAGGGAGTGTGTAAACAATGTTAGTCAGTTGGTGTGTATGCGGTGTTGGATATTAGCGGCAAGTGTCTGATGGCCCAGTTTGTTTGGGTGAAGTCCGTCATTAGAGAAAAATGGGGGTCGGTTCCAGAACAGGTTAAAATTGTCAATGAAGTGGGTGGAGAGGGTGCTGCAGAGGGCCCGAAGCCAGGAGTTTAGGCTGAGGAGGCGGCTAAAACGATCGATTTTTGGAGGGATTACAAGTTTTACACAGTGAGGAGCAGGTCTGAGTAGGCTAGTTTACTGTAGCTGTTAGCGAGGAGGCTAGACTCCGCCTCTTTGCCTCTTGGACGGTTGAACAAAAGTGAAGTTGAGTCAGCATTTGTTGTACAGTGATAGCCTTTAAAACAATGTCAAAATCAGTAAGTGAAGCCACTACGCTGCTGCTACATTCCAAATATGCTGATCCTGTATGAGATACCCAACACTGCACTACGGAACGCACTCAATACGGATCCTGTATGTTTTCGGCTTGAGGCCACTTAGACTGTGTCCATGCTTCCTACATCATGGTCACCAGCAGGCAGAGGAGCAGAAACTTCAGGAGCGTTTTTTTCTGACTGTGCTTGAACAGAACAGTAGATGCAGCAGATACAGCACCATCCTACAGTCACATAATCACAGTCCCATGATCAGCCTGCATGTCAAATGTTAGCTAAAACATCAAACTTCGGTGGCTCAGATGATTCGCTGAAATGTTCAGGATGGTTGATTGAGAAGTTTAGATGATGATGATGATGATGATGATCTCAGGGACCGTGAGGAAGAGGAAACACTGCTGTGAATCTCATAATGGCAGTCTGCCACAGATCGCCATCCCCCTGTTTGGCTGTGAATATCCTCAGAGTGAAGGTAGTGTGGATCACTGAGGGGGGTTTCAGCTCTTGTTCCTGGTCCAGATCATTTGGCTCAGTCCAACAACAAGACCCGGTTCTTCCAGCTCCATGTGGGTTTGAGAAAACCAGCCGTCAGCCTTTCATTCTGTCATTGACGACCTTTAAAAGCATTTTAACCTTTGGTGATCATAAATCCTGCAGGATTATTATCATGATCTGAATTCATCATTAAAACAGATTCTTTAATTTTGGTGATTATGTCCACAGGATCCAGAACCTCACAGTCAGGGTTTTGTTGTGGGTCTGGGCTCTGACTGTGCCTCACATGGACCACACATGGCTGCAGGAGCCAACCATGCAGACTGAAGTCCCAGAGCGCCTGATTATTCTCCTCTGGTTGGTGGAAATAATGTGGTTTGCAAAGTCCAGACACGTCATCATTTCCTTTCTGTAGCCTCCTGCTCAACATTACAGAATATTCAGACATGACTCAGTCTCTATGAAAGGTGTTTTTCCCCCCGAGGATCTGCTGGACTGCAGTTTTAGTCTGCCATGACAATCTTGGAAGGGTTCTGATGGTTCTGGTGCCAGCTGTAGTTGGACTCACTGACTAAAGTCTGTTTTCAAATCTGTTTATATCCTTATTTATGAAGCTCACAGAAGACTGAAGCTCTGAAATCTGATAGAGAAACCTGTTCAGCATGGAGGACTTCATGAGGTCTTATGTGTGGATGTCAGCATGTAGGGGAGACCGGGGCTTGTTGTCACACTTTTTACATTCTCATATATTTCTTGTAATCTATACATTATATATAAACAAAATGTGTACCAGACAAAAGACCAAAGTCTCAGGTAAGTATTTCGTATTCATGTCATTTTCATATCTTGTGTCAGTGAAGAGTTATAATCAATCAAATAGAGAGTGTGATCATGTGACATGTTGCCCCACCGTCGGGTAAGATGTCACAGTGGATTTAGCAGCTGATAAAACAAGAACAAAATTATTGTGGCTCTCATTTCTCAAATACCACTGCCCTGCCCACAAATTTATCAAAACAGCGCCAATATTCCCGGCTGCTCACTTGCATAGCCCCGGTTAGAACCATGGCGAAAGTATGACTTGAAAAAGAGGCAGCGTTTGCTCTGTTGTTGGCTGCACAAACGAGCACAAAACTGTTTTGAAAACTCCCTCGTCTGAGGATTTGAGGACTCAATGGGTGGATTTTATTTAAAATGGGAATGTACCCGCGGCACTTCCAAAATATCTGTACGTATGTGCGCACCATTTCATGTCGGACTGTTTTATCAACGAGGGACAGTTCAACGCTGGATTTGATAGATGTCTGAAGATAAAGAATGGATCCGTACCAACTATCCGTGATCCTACTACAAACGTGGCATCTGTAAGTATGAACGTTTTATTTTGACTTACTGTTGAGCCTAAATTCCCCCCGGTGACTCAGCACGGCCACCACGCTTTGATAAACACAGCCGCTCGCTTCTTCCCCGACAACTCCGCCAGCGGGGGACAAAATCCCCCTCCGGAGCAGCATGTAGCTATTGCATTTACCCGTGCGGCGACGCGCCTCATTTGGCTCAAATACGGGATGTCCCGGCTAATGCTGGACAGTCGGCCATCCTATTAATTAGCAAAGGCTTCAGAGCCTTTGAAAGCACAAAAATCTTACATTGTAGCAGAGCTCTGGTTGTAATTTTTTCTACATTCATATCTTCCTCCTTAAGCGTGACCCTCCTGGCGACTTTGAATAATACATAAGATGTGTCGACTAGGTCGCTTCAAGTCGCGTTTGGTCTGAACACGGCTGAGAGTTTCTTCTGGAGCCTCTCCCTCTGGGTCAGACTCTGGCTCAAACTGGTAGGGTTGTATGAGCGATCTTCTTGCAGCCATGACCGAGCCAGTGTAAACATTAGCACATGGCTATCGGAGCACAGCCAAAGCCCCTTCCAGAGAGATGGGTGTAAAGTGGACGTGGCTTAGGTGCAGCTCATTTCATTAAAGAGACATGGCCCAAAACGGAGGATTTTGAGCGAAGCTGTTTTTAGCTGATAAAAAGAGCACTAAAATAATTGATCCAAATCGAATTTTGACCGAAGGACGTCACCGACCTCCTGAACTGATACACAGCTGAACGGTTCAGGATTCAGTTCATAGCTTCTAGGACCAGGAGACTAGAGTGTTTGTCTGTGTTGCTTTGACAAACAGGTTTGTAAAAATGAACTTGTTTATAAGTCATGATGTTTTCAGTGTACTGTCCTACGGTATGCTAATTATCAGGTCTGCTCGGTAAACTGGGCTCAGTGAGTGATTCGTTCACTGAACATTTAGAAGAATTCACACTGAACATAGGATAGGATGCTGCGGGTTTAATGCACTACTTGTTACCTGCTGTATCCTGTTGTATGCAATTTGTTGTGGTGGCAATTTAGCAGTGAAAAAAAAAGGTAGTTCTGTCCGACAAAAATGATTCCAGAGAGTGTAGTTCAATGTGTGATTCATTCACCAAGTGATTTAGGCGTCAGTGCTTGGGGTCCCTCGTTTGCCGGCTGCTGGCCTGGCAATGCTGTTTCTCACCTCATCTCAACTGAAGTGAGACACGAACAAATCACTCCAGGAAGTGATTCAGTGGTGCAGTACGTTCACTTAAGTCGTTTTTTTTTAAACGAATCATTCGCAAACGACACAACACTACTGGGGTTGAATGTTTTACAGTACAGAGCTAAGGTAGTTGACATTGAAGTCCTTTATTGTCCTCCAGATTGATTTATTAGCGAGGGTCACCTGTCTGACTGTCCTCAGCATCGTCAGCAACGTCAGGAACTGCACTGACATGTTCTGTTTTTCTTTTCTAATTCCTGACCATGTCTTCTCTCTTTCTCCTCTCCTTTAAACCACTCTTTTTCCTCTGGAAAAATAAAGTCAAAATTTCAATACGACAACTGCTGATAATCAGACTCCCTATGTTAATTTTAATCTCTTTTAAACATGTGAAAACTAACCCCAAAATGACTGAGACATGTTGCCCCAAACGACCATGTTTGCTAATTAAAGCTCTAGATTAAAATTACTTAAAACAGAACAATGAGTGAGGTATGACAGGATTAATTAATCTCTCCTCTAACAAGTCCACATGTTTCACTGCAAGGATTTCTATCTGGAAGAAGTTTATTTTAAAATATATAAAGTTATTTTTTTACTTCAGGTTGTGTGAAATGGTTAATTAGCGCTCATCTCAACTCACAATGTTCTCTTCTCAGACAGAACACGACTGCTGACCATGGAAAGGAAGAAAACTAGTATTTTACTTTTAAGTTGCGCCCTCTGGTGGCAAACATAATTGCAATGTGACAATTTACCCATGTGACAACAAGCTCCGGTCTCCCCTACATTTGTTTCCTGTTTGAATCCAAAAACACTTAAACCTGTTTTTCTCAGAACTACATGAAACCATGAACCCCCTTATTTCCCCAAAACACATAGGATAAGGTCCACACATACATATATGTGTGTGTGTGTGTGTGTGTGTGTGTGTGTGTGTGTGTGTGTGTGTGTGTGTGTGTGTGAGTGTGTGTGTGTTAGCGAGTGAGAATCAAACAGAAACATCTGAATCTGTTTCTGTGACGGTGTGATCAGCAGGAAAACATGCACCTCACACACACACACGCACACACACACACACATTCGCACACACAAACTCCATGCCTTCAGCTGAGCATGGTGGGTGTGTGTGTGTGTGTGTGTGTGTGTGTGTGTGTGTGTGTGTGTGTGTGTGTGTTCCCACGGCGCAGTCATTTATCGCTCTCTGCAGAGAAAAGTGAGCGTTGGATGAGCGCGGCGCTGACAGCAGGTCAGAAACACATCACTGAGACCTCAGGGGGCTGATGGGGTTTCTGTTAGGAGCTGAATGTGGACCTGCAGAGCCCGGTCTGTGACTCTGCTGAAGACCTGGACTTGCAGGGACACAGAGGAGAAACCGCACTGCTGCAGGAGCGTGGGAACTGATAAACATGAACGTGTGGAACAACGTTTGTTACACGTGTTTGTTTTTTGCACCTTAGTTTTTCATTCTTATCATCTTATCTCAAATCATATATTCATCATATAGAAGCTGATTCTCATGTCTCATACGTCTCATCCCAGATAGCAAAATAGGGTTGAATCAACGTTAGAAGATAGTCAGGCAGAATGAATTAATCTACGTTGAAACCTAACGTTGAAACTGTACAGTGCAAAGGAATTCCATCTTGATTCAACGTTGGGGTTTCAACCACTAACTGACACTTTATCAACATTGATTCAACCATCATCTAAATGGTAATCTGCCTGCACATTTTAGTTGATTTTATGTTGAATCAACATCAGGAATCAACACTGATTCAACCATCATCTAAATGGAAACCTACATGTACATAAATTGATTTATTGAATCATGTTAGAATTCAATTTTGATCCTGATCATCCAACAATCTAATGGTAATCTGCATGTACATGTTAAATTATGTGTATGCTGATATACTTTAAGACTACGGGCTCTATTTTCGTGTACGCCCGTGAGGCGGCGGAGGGCGGCGAGCCCCGTGCAGTTGTATTTTCGTCTGGCGCAGCCCGGCATACAGCCAGTTTGGTATTTTCTTGGAATGAGGCGCACGGAGGCGAGCCGAGAGCCGCCAAGCTGGGCGTGGTGGCGTGGCAGGGGGAGGTGTCGACAGAATCAGTGGGCGCAGTGACATTTTCGTGCTCGCCACCGGCGTGTAAAGTGCACTGAAAGCTCGCTGATTCAAACCTGGTCAGCTTTCAGCGCAGGCGGAACGCAGCTGGTCTAGTAGTATTTTGGTAGACCGGCGGCGTATTGGCATACGTCACTGATGCCTCACCGGCAGGTTTCCACAGTGTCAGGCACATTTCAGTGCAATAAATAATCATCAACAACTAATAATCTGAGTCAGCACACACATTTAGATCTATATCGATATATTCTGATCTATATCTGATCTGATGAGCACGTTTGGCACGCGTTTGGACACACAACCTGACCGAATCAACACAGCTGAAACCGCATTAAATTACATTAAATATCTAGTAAATAGACACACATGATGAAGTTAACAAGATATGTCTCTGTGTCCTCTCTCTGTCCTAATTCAGCAGCGGTTGAACAGATGATTTGTTTCAGCGCTCAGATGCGTTATCTACTTAAAGCCGACATACGGATATTATAATATTCAGTTTTGTGAGCCAAATTTATTTTATATGCCAACATCTATGAAAGAAAGAGCCAGGCCACGGAGCGCGATGCGTCATTTACGCACAGATGGTTCCGATTTTAATGCCATTATTGGAGTTTATGTTGTGATCTGTGCGCTCAACCCACCTTTGTCACGTGAGGTTTGAATATGAGCAACTTTATGTGAGTGTCTTTATTTGTGGAAAAGGGTGTTTGTCTTACCAGTGGGTCCAACATTACACACACCAAATCCATCTGTGCTCATATGAGAGAGTGTGGAGGATGCCCAATGTAGCACTTACAGTGACACTTGTTGAGGAGCTGCCCTTTGTCGCCATCGTGTGGCATAACTGTCTTCAGACATCTCTTGATCTCTTTGACTACTTCATGAAAATAGTAATACGCCTCGCTGGTGGCGGATTTAAAGGCAAGGAGAGGAGCTTATGTGATTGGTGAAAACAGGTCTCGGCTGTGTTAAACCCACTCTCCGCCCTCTCTCCTCCCTCGCTACGACGCCGCTGGGAGGAGCTGAGTTAGGGAGGGGGGATACTTACGCCGGGCTGCACCGCTCACCAAAATACCAAATTGCGCTTGGGAACGCCTTGTCGGCACGGCGGACCTCACTTACGCCGCACATGCGCCGCGTCGCCGGCGAGGCACGAAAATAGAGCCCTACATCTTAATAGCTTGTTCAAAATTACCTTTTCGTAAAATGTGAAAATAAATATTAAAAATGAAATAAAAAATAAAGACAGACAACATGATTTTAAACTTAAAATTTATTGAACATCAAGGCCTTGACAATTGCCGATAACGTAGCTGAAAGAAAAAGTCCAGAGTAGTCCAGATTTGTAGAAAATCCAGAGTAGTAGAAATGTTGAAAATGTAGAAAATTAGTAGCCTGGCTGGGCCATCCTGTTGCGTGAATCACTTGCCGTCCCTTCCCACAACAGTCTGGACTTAGGTCCATTGGGAGCGTGTATTCCCAATCAGAAAATAACCAGGCCAATCAGTGACTGTGTTTCCACTGTTACCCGGACAACAGGGAAAGGCAGCCCCTGATTGGTCCATGTGTGGATTGTGACGTCTAACACATGCTGCGGGACTTTTCAAAGCGCATTCAGAACGCCGTTAATTCTGCAGTTGACTTTGCAAAGTCGGCAGAAATTGTTTATATCCAACGTCTTCTGTGGAACAGTGGAAACACAGTCACTGATTGGCCCGGTTATTTTCTGATCGCTAATACATGCTCCCAATGGGCCGAAGCCCAGACTGTTGTGGGAAGGAACGGCAAGTGATTCACGCAACAGGATGGCCCAGCCAGGCTAAGGACATCAAGCATAAGCACAAAACAAAGCTTGTTTGCTTCACTGAAAACAGTTAAGATCAAAGAAATATGTCAAACTTACTGTGCAAGACAGGCAGAGAAGGTCGGAGGAGTGATCGATGCAGTAGGTCCGGCAGGAGAGGAGACTATTGCTGCGTCCGAATTGCCAAGTAGTAGTCGAAGTAGTATCTAGCATGTCCGAATTGGCCACCGGAGCGAGAAGCATGCTACTTCAGATACTACTTCAGATACTAGACACGCCCACATTGTAGTATGGTCGTGGTGCATCCTACGGGCATGCTACTGACCCAAAATGCACCGTGGGCTTCTTCTTTGTCCTCTTAAAAGTTGTAGAATGGCTTGTGATGCTAGCGCCACCAGCTGCTGCCTATTTAGATGCGTAGTGAACGCCGGCTGGCCACAGCAGTGCACACCATGGCACAGCAGCAGCAGCAGACAGACACACTGTCCTAAAAAAATGTGCGGTTGTATCTCTTTGTCATGTCATGGTGTCATATTTGCCCAAGTCATCATTTTATGAGCAAATATGTGGCGACATCATGGAGGTAAAGCTCACTTTTTCCATCATTAAACTGCACAGCTGCAGTAATCAGGCAGATCTCATTGAACAAACAATCACCACGTGAGTGAATGAAGGCTAAAAGTAATGGAAAAGCTACTTTGTGAATTTCTAAAGCAGTGCAGGAATATAATACAGCAGCATCCATCACTTGCACAATTACCATTCAAAGAGTCTAAAACTGTCTGCATGGGCACAGTACCTACTCTCTGCCTGCGGGGGTCGTCTTTCCCCACCGCTCATCTAGTGTGTCCGAATTGGGCCAACGTGTTTAGTATGTAGGAGTAGGATCTAGCAGTAGTATGTAGCAGTAGTATGTAGTATGCGAGTGGGAAAATTTGGACACAGCATGAGAGAGGAAATTCTTCTTCTTCTTTTGGCTTTTCGGCAGTCTAGATGCCCATCGGCATATTGCTGCCTCCCACAGTTCGTGCTAGGAATTTATACTGTGGCCTTACACCTTATGGTACAGGCCTGTGTCCCAGGCCTGTACCATAACACCACCACAGTATTTTGTTGTTCCTCAGGCTTGAGTAGATTCCTCAGAGAGAGAGAGGAAATTGGTTGGGACATACCACTAAGTTTTAATCGGGGTATTTTGGAATGCTCTAGAATCTCCTCTGAGGGTAATTATATTTTTGTGATTAAAAATTATGCATAAACCGTCAGAAGACTATTTAAAGCAAAATCACAACCCATTGTCCTCAAGGTGTTGAGAATTTAGGCCTTGATTTAAAATGCATTAATGCAACACCCCCGCCCATAAAATGCTCTCACCCAGTCTTCAGAGAATGAATAGGGAGGGAACCAACTACTTCGTCACACTTTAAGATGTTTCAAACATGAATTGCAATATAAATAATATGTAAATTATTATTATTATTATTATTATTATCATTATTGTTGTTGTTGGGATGGTCCTGCTGACAATGATTTAAATCAATGTTGTCATTTCAATCATTAAATGGGAGAAAAAAAGAAAAGAAAAAGGCAAACACCATAGATTCAACGTTGATTCAATGTTGGCATTTCAATCAATGAATTGTGCACTACAATACAACAGTGATTCAATGTTGAACAACCATCAGTCTTCAATCGTAACCAAAAATCAACCTTTTCTACCAAAATTCAACGTTGAATAACTATCTTTTGCTATCTGGGATGGCACAAAACTCTACATGCATCATATGAAGTGTTGGCAGGAGTGAATCTGAAGAGGAAACTGAAGATATTCAGAAAACACTCAGTTTGTCTCTGAAGAAGCTGAATCACTGAAATGAAATAAAAGAGACAAACCTGAAGGGAGAGAATTCACAAGCAGAGCTTATTTCCATTTCCTATGGTGTTTCTTCAACTTAATTAAATTGATCAATGCTTCTTCTTCTTCTTTGTCTTTCAGTTTTGCCTTTTTTTATCTTGTTTCTTCCACAGGTGGGCGGAGGATCAGCTTCTTTTCTCTGAGACTCTGTTTTTGTTCAATAAGAGGAAAACTCTGAGTTTATAGGCATGAAGATGTTCAGATCATACATGAAACCTCTTGTCTTTACTTGTTTTCTGCTCAGTGTCAATTCTGGTGACTCTTTCTGTCTGTCATGATAGCATGTACTGAGTCGGGGCCAGTACCAGATAAGCACATTAAATTATAATCCATTAATGTAAGGTAACAACCGAGACCTAATGGAGCTGTGACAGCAACGCTGTGATTGAGTTTGAGACAGTGAAAATACATATGGTATGTTGTATCTGAACAGGTTAGCTTACGAGCTAAAGTTACTTAGTGTGGCAGGTTGCTGCTGCACCTCCACTCAAGTGGCATCAGCTGCATCCAATCTCCAGTGGTGCCTGGCTTGATTGCAGGGCGGGAGGTTTATAAGTTCTGTCCTCTCATTCAACCCAGTGCTACCTGACGTTCACTCGACGGTCTGTGTGATTGTCCGCTGGTCATTGGGTTTGATCATTGTGGGACAGAAAAGCGTGGTCTGCTGCTGGCGTGGAGGTAGAGGTGTTTTGAGTGTGGTGTTGGCTCTTTTTATCATCAAAAGACGGTGACTGGTTTGGCGATGCGTAAAAGCTTACTTCGCTCGGCTGCTGAAGCCACAGATAGTGGCTCTCCTCCGTGGCTCTCCTCTCCTCGGCGCTCTGTGCGAGGCTCTACTTCTGCCCACTACTTGGTCGCCAGCGGGGCACAAAGACGGCTTCGTTTGATTATTTCTTTTCTTTGGTTTATTTTGTTTATTTAGCGAACTGGCTATCGGGTGAAACTTTTTATTTTGTTTAGTTTGGATTTGGTTGTTATTTTAGGGAAGTTTCTTGTTTTTTTCGTTTTTTGTTTTTTTTTCTGTTAATATCTTGTATAGTTATATCCGGGATTTCGTTTGCCATTTAGTTTATTACCCAATTAAATTAGGTTTATTTATTTATTTATTTTTTTGTGGTTGTGTGTGTGTGTGCGTATGAGTGTGCTGTATGTGTGTGTGTGTTTTTTTTTTTTTAGAATAGGTCATTTAAATCAATTCTTAACAGAACTCCATATATTGCTTTTGAGTGATCAACCATATCATTGATTTCTTCTTTCTTTTTCAGGAGCTTGAAACAGACTTCCCCGGTGGTGGCCACCCCCTTCACTCCCTTTAGTTGCCGTGGCACGTGGTGTTTGGTTTGTAGTGATTTCTTTTGGTTTGCAGTGGGTTTCTTTGGTTTTGAATTGTTTTCCTTTTTAGGTTAGTCTGTTTGTGACCAAGTCTCCTTGTTCCTGCTTTTGTTTAGTTACTGCATTTATTGTTTACTGGTACTCATACGATTATCCTTCATATTGTGTTCTTTTAAAATTAGGAGTTTTAATCAATAAAATCGTTTAATTCTTTTTGGAAGTCCGTCTCTCTTGGTGTCTCTGTTTGGGTGTAACGAATCTGTGTGACCTTTAGTGAGAGGGTCTGTTGTATTTCCTGGGGTGAAACTCCCCAGGTGGCGTTGTTCGGCAACAAAATACTTAATCTCTCCCCCCCTCCATTACGCCACATTAGCAAAGATGAAGGTTAAAACAAAGACGTTTATCAAACTGTTAAAGCACACAAACCATTGTCATATGAGAGATCAGACGCTATGACTCTCCATAAGTTGTCCTTCAGGTCGTTATCTTTGTCATATTTGTCTTTTATCAAAAAGCACTCTGTTCTCCGATACGTAAACAATCAGCCGGTCAGTGTCATGGTTCCCTAGTGTCAAACGTTTTTTTCCTCTGTCAAGCAGGAGGTTACCAGGGGGCGGTCCAGTCGTTTAGTGAGGTTGGCAGCACCTGGGCCCAGTGTCTCAGTCTATAAATATCCCATCTTCTCCACCGGTTCTCTCTCACCCTTTCTCCCGGGGGATGGCTTCTTCTTTTGTGTTTTACGCATCCAACACCTTACCACACATTTCACCCCTTACTTACTCATGCATGCACGCACCCACACCACTGATCTACTGATCCTCACACCCCATGGTTTGTTTGTGTTAACCTCCTAAGTTGCTGTTTTGCAATTTTCCAATAAATTCCTTACTTTTGCATAAACTAGCGCATCTCCCATTTTTTTGTTGCGGCTGAAGAGCCAGGTCGTGACAAAAGTAGGGGCTCGTCCGTCTTGATTAGGTCTGTTTAGCATTGAATGGTAGGCTAAGTAGTGGTAGTATTAGTGGGCCTGATTTTGTGAATGGAAGGCAGCGGCGTAAGTGACATCACTAGCTTGTAGTGGGGGTTTCTGGCTGGGTTTTTCTGGCTGGCCGCGTGTAGTGTCTTTGCGCTCAGCAGCGGGAATTGGGAGATGCAAAGGTGGTATGTATTTTGGATATTTGTTTCACTGGCTATAAGGGGAGGTTTGTTGTTTTAATAGTGCTGCAGAGACCGTGGTTCAGGAGGAGTCGCCAGTTTCTGGTTGCTTTTCCTCGCCATTGGGTTTAGGTGCATAAATACTCAACTAGGTGAGTTTAGGTAGGTAGATTCTGGGTTAGGTAGTGTTGTTGGATATACCGGTGAATTTGACGTCACAACAACGCGAAATCTGATCGGTCAGAAGTGGACACACAGTATGTGAAACTTTAGAAAATTCGAACGCAATGCGAAAAAATAAATGCTGCAATATCGCAGGACAAGACAACATCACTGATGTGAACGCTTGTATTGACAGGATACGGATTCAAAAAAAAATAATATTGACCTCCGAAATAATTGCATGAAAAAAACAGTCCCAGTGTGAAAGGACCTTGAGACCAATGAGTTTAGGTTTTAATTTGTAGATATATTTGACTCATGTACATATCTTTAATCTTTAACTCTAAGTTGCTTTATACTTTAATTTCTTTTTGTATGACTGTATGCTACTGTATATGTGGAATTTCCCCCTGTGGGACTATTAAAAGAACATCTTATCTTATCTTGGATTATGAACTGTAATGTAACACCGACCAAATATGTGACCTCAGGTGGATCTGGTTTATTGTCACAAATCTAACCTCTCGAAGTCGGACTTGCATATGTGGATGATGCAGGAATCAATTTTCTCTGGCCTAACCGTTCTGAGCATGCTCAGTGTTTGCACGTGGAGTTCTAAGCTGGGTGTTGAAGAGCGTGGATGTGTTGCTGGGAAAGTGGGTAGTAAACTAAACTCCAATGGAGCAAGGACGGATGTAAACGAGAGGAAACTTCTCTGTCATAAAAACGTTAAAGAGCTAAAACAGTGACAGTGTTTTCATCCTCCTGATACACCTGTAGATCAGACTATAAGAGCTGTGTATGTGTTCACAGTCTGCAGTCAGGTGTTCTTGAGTCTGAGCTCACCTGAGGAAGTATGAGGTCAAAACTTTAGATGGTTTAAATCTGAATATTCAAACTTTGGATTTATTTAATCACTGAGCCTCTGAGTTCCTCTGATATAAACATAGCTGTGTGTGTGTGTGTGTGTGTGTGTGTGTGTGTGTGTGTGTGTGTGTGTGTGTGTGTGTGTGTGTGTGTGTGTGTTATCTGAAGGCTGCACATTGGTTTTGTCACATTCTCCACAGTTGTGTGATGGTTGTCACTTTGACTCTGCCACCAATAAAAAAAACATCCATGAATCCTTTTCAGGCTTTAAATCCTCCTGACGAGTCTATAACAGTCTTCAGTGTGTGTGTGTGTGTGTGTGTGTGTGTGTGTGTGTGTGTGTGTGTGTGTGTGCATGTATATGCTCATAGTATATATGTGTATGATAAGATGCATTCTGGCAGCTCTGCAGGAAGAAAAGCTGCACAGAAGAAATCCTGCTGATGTTTGTAACATGCAGGAGAGATTTACCTGACGCTCACGCTGCACAAATTCCACTTCATTCAGGTTTTTATCACCGAAGAGGATTAAAGATATGTTTAGGGACATGTGTGTTCGTGTGTGTGTGTGTGTAGGCCTCCTCTGACTCCACACAGGAGGAAAATAAAGAGCAGTGAAGCTTCCTGAAGGAGGAGGAGGAATCCGATGAATCTGCAACTTCATTGTGAGTTTTTTTTTTTCAGATGATTTATCAGTTTGTGTTTCTCCTGGTGGTCTCATGAGCCTCTTTTGGACAGAAACTCCTGAAAAGATCTAGGGTTTCCTGTAACCCTGGCCTGAAAATTTTTCCTTCTTCTTCTTCAAATGTTGGTCAGACTCAGGGATGGTGAGTCCAGCTGCATGTTAGAACTGCAGAGTGGTGTTTGATGGAGACAGCAGAGGTCGACACACGGATGTCCTGCATCGATGGTACAGTGACGACCTTTAGAGACGACTCTGACACCAAACCACCAATGGAGGGGCTGACACCCTCCCAAGAGGAAGAGGGGGAAACAGAGGAAGAGTGTGATGTGCATGAAGCATTAATTTCCTCCTCTTGTTTTCTTCATCTCAATCTCTCCTCTGCTCATCAATCCTCCTCTCCCTCTGGACCACAATCTCCTCAGTCTGATGGAGTCAGGAGGACCCACCTGTGGCCCCACCATATTTACCCCCCCCCCCATCCTCCCTCCTCTTCATCATGTGTGTTCTCCTCTTTTCTCCCATTTACTCCTGTTTACTCCTCAGTCCTACTCTCTTTGCTTTAATAACGCCCTCCTCCTCTCCTTCCTCCTCTAAACGTCTGTTTTCTACTTCATCTCCTCCATCTCCATCTTGCGCGCGCGCGCGTGTGTCTGTGTTGCTGACTTTCATCTCCTCTCTCTCATGCCTTCACTTCCTCGAGCTCCTCATCTTCATCTTCGCTGCAGCTCTAACAGCGTCCTGCTGAGCGACACTTTCTTTAATAAATTACACAGCAGGTTTGTGTGTGTGTGTGTGTGTGTGTGTGTGTGTGTGTGTGTGTGTGTGTGTGTGTGTGTGTGTGTGAGAACAGGAACACAAACACACGGTGAAAAACACACAGCAGGGGAACATTCAAAGCTGTGCTTGTGTCAGAATATAGAAATACTGCAGTATCAGGAGTACTGTGGGAGTTTCTCTCTGAATACTTTGTTATTTTTACTTCTTTATAAACTCAAACATTTTAAAATCAAAGTGTTTTATCGATATTTTAATTTAATCAAATGACTATTTCAAGGAAACAGTGTTAAAGAGGATTTAATTTAGGACTCATTTTGGGGATTTTAGGAGGTACATGTTCAAAAATATGAAAATTCACATGTTTACAAACTAAGACAGTCCAGTTTCTGAGGGAAACTGTTGGTTTTCGTTCCTCACCCTCGATTTTTTATCAGTAATTTAACAGAAAATGAGAAAATATAAACAGACAGCCTCAGGTTTATCACTGACATGGTCATATACTTCCCCCTGCTGGTTAGAAGGCATCACTACAGGAACACTATCAACTTCAAAAATAAGAAGTTTTCCCAAAACTGGATTTAATGTCTATGGGCAGCAAATAAATAAACAGAAGACAAGAGAACCCATTTATAAAGAAACAATGACCAGAACTCGATTTATGTCCTGTCTGATTCTGCACTAAGGAGAAAAAGACAGATAGAAATAAAAACACAAATATTTATGAGTATAAAAGCAGATTTAAACAGCAGTACTACACCTTTAAAGGAATAGAAAAATATACAATAATTAAAACAAATAACCTGATTAAACCTGTTACAAGGTAGGGTTGTCAGGATCTGATGAAGTTCCAGTTTTTAGGAGGAATCTTGAATGTAAACTCTACTCCCCCCCAACCAGTTTTCCCCTCAGCTCCTCCTCTCCCCTCCCTCTCTGCTCCAGCAAGCCCCGCCCACAAACAGATGCTCCTGTCAGCTCGTATCGCTCCAATTAAATTCAGATATAATGCAGATAAATACTTCAGATAATTACAAATGGGGCCCAGTCAACGTGAAAGTAAAAAGCATCTACAGTGCTACTGTAGATGCCAACAGACTACCAGCAAACACAATGTTTACAGGACTTCTACAACTAGGATAAAGTGACATAGTCCAAGGCCCGAGGTCAACAGTTTAGCAGCGCTACAACACGCTACAGCAGGTCCCGTTTGACAAGAAACACTTCTGTTACACACACTTGGCTTACTTTGTTAAAGCGGTTTACCTGTCCAGCAGAAAGGTTACAGGGTCACCAAGACCCCCCCCCCCCCTTTGTTTTCTTGCTTGTGTTGGCAGTCGTGGCCAAAGGAGGATTCAGACAATTTTCCGAACTTTCTGGTTGGTTTCTACTGTCCGATATTGTAGCACGCTAACTTTGTTTGGGCTCGTGAACGACATGGGGGAGCAGTGTCTGCCTCACAACCAATCAGGTCGGGGAGGTGGAGAACGGCTTTATTTACAGTCAGAAACAGCGGGCCGCTCAAAAATGTTAAAATGTTGACTACACAGACATAAGAGAACACAGAAATATCGTGATATTACCAGATGTCATCATTAACTCATACCAATTGACTGATATTAAAAGATTTTTTGTAAATACACCACAAAAAAAGATGCTTCTTTAACAGATTCCTGCCTACCCCACCTTTAAAAAGAGCTGTACATTTATGCATTCATGACAGTACTTTATTTTACAAAATCATTTATTTGGATTTTAGACTTTGATACATGTCCCATCTATTTACATGGAGGAGATGGAGACAGCAGGGGTGGCTCTAAGTATTCCGGCTCTACATCATAGGAGCTGTAGT